CAGTGCAAAAAAAGAAGAATATTGAAAACGTGCACTCACAGTAGAAATAAAGTGGCTAGAAAGGAATAATGTGAGTTTCCCCCCCAAATAAAATGTATTACATTGATAAATGTATAGTAAGCCCTTCACTGCCCGAAAAATAAGCACAGACCCCAAAGTAGACTGAAAGTGTTGTTTTTCCATACACTTTTCAAAGGGTGCTAATATGCCCTAAATCTACTGGGATTAGTTAACAGTAATAGAATAATTTCAAATTAAAACTAATCAAATATACAATTTTATATGTCCTGCATTACAATTAGCTAAAAAATAATGTAATTAACTTTGTCCTGAATTAAATGTGAGGAGATCTGGCTCTATACTTAAAATGATGATGATAAAAGTGATGGAAAATATACTCTGAGTCTTCTTAATGTTGAGTACGAATGTTTATATGGAAGTTAGATCAGTACATTTTGTGTTTTCACTTTTGAATCTTGGAGACCTGAGCACAAGAAGGAACTTTTTTCTAGTATATACATTACAGTATTATTTTATGGCTTTATTGGGTTTTTTAAATTGCTTCATAAAGAACAATTTATTTAAAACACTGATTTATATGTCTTGATTCAAACAGTTATTTGAGCACATATATTAAGTGACCCGTGTTTCTTATTTCTGTTGTCTCTTTCTGTGTCTTTGCCTCTCTCTCTCTCTCTCTCTTCATTAACCATTTAAATAAGCATGAAATAGTTGGCAGAAAGCTGGCTATATTTATTTTCAAACTTAACAACTCTTCAATGCGATCGGTTAATTCTGGGGAAAATGTGACTAATTAGAACTATTTGGCTTTTGAAAGTGTTCAAAATGTTACTGTCTTAGATTTTATCCTTTTCTAAAATGTATATATTTTTTAAGTTGTAACCTGCTCAATTCAGCATGTGTAATGTTTCTTTGTATTTATCTGATACTCGTCTTTTATGGCTACTGCTTTTTGTCTTTTTTTTTTTTCCCATAGGTTATTGGGTTACAGGTGGTATTTGGTTACATGAGTAAATCCTTTAGTGGTGATTTGTGAGATTTTGGTGCATCTATCACCCGAGCAGTATACACTGCACCCTATTTGTAGTCTTTTATCCCTCGCTCTCCGCCCACACTTCCTCCCAAGTCCCCAAAGTCCATTGTATCATTCTTAGCCTTTGCATCCTCATAGCTTTTTGTCTTGTATAAGAAATTGTTAACTATTCAAAGTCATGACAACATCATCCTGTTTGTTTTTAGGAGATTTATTATTTTAGCTTTAATGTTTAGATCTGTGATCCAACTCAAATTAATTTTTGTGTATGAAGTGAGATATAGAGATGGAGGTTCACTTCTTTTTCCACATGGATACCCAGTTGCCAAACATCATTTGTTAAAACAACCTTCCTTTCCCCATTTAAATGACTTGACCCCTTGATTTAAAATGATCATGTATATGTGGGACTATTTATGAAATCATTATCTTTCTATACTTACACTAATGCCATATTGTATTGATTACTGTGGTGTATAAGGGGTATCGAAATCAGCTACTTAAGTCCTCCCAATTTTTAAGGTTCTTCTGTACTAGATCCTTTGCCTTTTAACATATTTTTTAGAATAAATTTGTCTTTTAAATTTTCAAAAGGAGTGGCTGAGATTTTGATTTTGATTGCATTTAATCTATAGGACAATTTGGGGATAATGGGTTTCTAACAAAATTGACATTCCCAAATCATGCACATGGTGTAGCTCTCCTTTTATTAGGTCATCTTAAATATATCTCAGCAATGATCTGTAGTTTTCAGTATAGAAGCCTTGTGATCTGTTATTAGATTTATTTCCATTTATCCTATATCTTATGTTGCTAATATAAATGTTCTTTTGAAATTTTATTTTTAAATTCTTTGTTGCTAGGATATAGAATTATAATTTATTTTCGTAAAGACTGCACATTGTGGCCTTGTAAAATTCACTTACTAGTTCTAGTAGGGACTTGAATGTAAATTCCTTACAGTTTTGTACATATACATGATCTGCTAATCATGACAGTACATCTTCTTTTTTAATCTTTTAGTTCTTTAATATTTTCCTCGTGTTATGGAACTGACTAGGACTTCCAGTATAATGTTAAATAAAAGTGGTCAGTGAATATCCTTGGCTTGTTTCCAGTCTTAGGGAGAAAGCTTCCAATATTTCACCATTAAGTATGATGCTGTGGGTTTTTGTAAGTGTGCTTTATCACATTGAAGAAACTCCCTTTATTCCTTGTCTGCTGATAGTTTTTGTCATAAATGAGTATGAAGTTCTATCGATGGTTTTCTTGTATCTATTGAAATGATTATATAATTTTCTTCCTCATTATGTTAATATGATGAATTACATTGATTTTCAAGTGTCTAATACAGGTATTTAAAGCCATACATTTGCCTCCCTCTTTAGCTGCATCCACAAATTTTTTGATATTTCGAGTTTTTACTTTCATCCAATTTGAAATAGCTCAAATTTCCCTTGTGCTTTCTTCTTTGCCCCATGTATTGTATAGATGTGTATTCTTTAATATCAAAATACTTTGGATTTCCTGATTTCTAAGATTACATCCTGACTGTATGATTCCAATCTTTTGAAATTTATGAAGACTTGTTTTATGACACAGAAGGTAGCCTATCTTGGTGAAGGTTCCACGTATACTTGAAAATGATGATACATTCTGCAGTTGTTGGGTGTAAATTTTTAATAAATGTCAAATAGTTCAGGTTGTCAGTATACTAGATTTTGGATTACTAATTAAGTAGTTCAATAATTATCTAAATAATTTAACAATTAGTGCAAAAAGCCTTTGAAAGGTGACCCAGATTAGAGTTCTCAAACGAACAAATGAGAAGTGACTCCATTTGAGCGGTTCCCATGTGACCCAGCATTTCTATTAAGCCTCATTATCCTTAGATTTCATTGTATGTTATAAATAAAATTTGGAACCAAATAAGTTACACCTAGTGTGTTTAAACAGTGTACAATTACCTGGAATTCAAACAAACAAACGACCAAAACTAGGACTTCGGAGGAATTATGTCCATGTAAGAATCATCTTATTTAACAATTAATTGATTTTCCTTTTCTGTGCTACCTTTTAACAGACAGCTAAGTGTCACTTAGAGGAAAAGTCTACAACAAAACAGGTTTATATACAGAAATGTTACATACTAAGGGTTAAGTTAATAGAAATGAACATCAGATTAGCTCCCAATGCTTCATACTACCTTTACACATAAGTCTAGGGTATAGACACAAGTGTGTTTGTATATGTGTGTCTGTGTGTGTGTAGCAGAGACCTACCACAAAGAAATAACATGCTCCGAGGACAGTGTAGAGCCACACACTAGTAAAGCATTCTTGGACAGTAAGGCAGGTACCTTAAAAGCATATCCTCAGTATTTAATTCTGAAGAGTATCTTACAAAACACCATAGTATCTTAAATCTCTTTCAAGACTAGCAGCCTTATAGGAAAAAGTCTAATGTACCTTTAAATTTTTCATTCATAAATTTAAAACTATTAAAGAAAAAAAATAAATCCTAGCTAACATAATGTGTTTGCTGCTTTATTTCTAACTGCAGAGAGGTCATTACTCTATGCCAATGTCATCTTTGGTGAAGCTTTAACATTTTCAGTCTTCAAATTGTGTACAGTTTATTCATATTATACCTGCAACTTTGGCATTCCGAAACCTATGGTCACCAATTAAAATATGTAAACTGTTTCCAAGAATCAGACCTTCTTTTCTTCTGTTTAGATTTTTCACCAACCTAAATAATAAATGAATTAGTAGCCAACAATGGTAATACTAAGTGAATCAAAACAAATACATTACATTGCAGCTCAAACTTTCACAAAGCTATTGCATGTGTTCAAAAACCTTCATGACCCTGTGCTTGAGTCCTTTAAGCAACCTACAAAGGACTTTGGTTATTAGAAAAACTTATTACTTTAATGAGCCATCATTAACTTTTAACTCTGTGTGTACCCTCTTCCACCTATAGGGTTAGAGTATACAGTCAATGTAGCATTTCAGTTCAAGTTATTGAGCCAATGAAGACAGAACTGTTACACTTAAAATTTCCAAAAGAATTATGGAAGTTTCATTCAATCCAAACAATATTTTCTTCCTGCTTTGGGTTCTCTCCTACCTAAACAGTATATTTGGCAGAACCATCTTTACAATCAGTACTATATAAAGTCAAAGACATAAGGGTAGAATGATAAGACTAAAAAGTCAATATTTGAACTGATAAACAGAAGTGTAGCCATGTTGTAAAGTAGTAAAGTGTGGTCTCTGGCACACAGTAGGCATTCATTAAATATGTGGTTAATGAATGACTTAAATGACCACATGGAATGTGATCTGTAGCCATTACAAAGCCCAGACATATCAACTAAAACATCTGAGCCAAAGGTAAACTACAAAAGAACATGCAGACTCATAGCATGTCATTCTTTCAAAGCATTTTTCACTCACCAAAGGTTAATGTTCCTTTCAGTGAGCTTTATAGGCAGTGCTGAAGCAATGAAAATGAAAGCCATTGCTGTGATATTTCTGCTTTTAGAGACTGTATAACAAAGATACAGATAAAGCAGAACATTTGATTAGCTATCTATGTGCCCCAGCTGGAGATCATCACAGGCTTTGCAAACACACCTACCATTGACCCTCAGCATCCCCATGGAGAAGCTGAATGACATCTCCATGTCTAATCAGGACGTCTTCTGAGCCTCTCTTCCTGCAGTCTGCTAGGCTCTATATTTGCCTGGAGACTGTAAAGTTGTTTTGAAAAATTATGGTACAAACTTGATTGCAAAACCACTTGCATAACTGCCTGCTCTGCGACATGAAGAATTTACTCTTTACTTCACTGGTAAATGTGGTAGCTGCAGCAGCTTTGCAGGAACAGATGGACATGAAGCAGTATGTGATGGGGGACCAAAAAAGGCAGAACAAGTTTATTTAATCTGAAGAATCAATTTTTATTTGAAAAAAAAGAATTACAACATGAAATATAGGGAAAATAGCAGAGCACAACTAATTTAAGTTACGTTAATTATAAGCAAAAATCCAGAAAAAAACAAGTGTGAAAATAATAATTTTTAAATAGGGCTTTTGTAAACTACTCTCATGAAAATTTTATCTGGGCACAGACAGACAGTAGCCCTGAACAAAATTTACTCATGCCCCAAAAAGAATTTCTGGGCTTTGTATTGTTTTACACAGGTTAAAATAATGGGCACAAAAGCTGTGGTTTCAACAAAAGCATATTAAATCATAATGTTGTGCTTTACTTGACCTTACCCATTTTGCAGCCGTAATTTTAACTTAATTCATTAATAAACTAAATAATCCAAGGCACACCGATTGCATTTGGTTACAAAGTAGAGAAGAAATAATTTTCAAGTCCAAAAGTATTCTGAGATGAGAATCTTTCAAGCACAATATCTGACACATTAGATACATGATTTTTAAAAGACAGCGTACCATAATTAAAAGCCTTATTAAATGAAAGAAAAGAAGTATGTGCTGTGGTTTCTTGGTGTGTCCATTAACCTGAAAACAACATCTGCATCATTTGAGCTGAATGTCTTTTGCGCAGTATTTTTCCAAATGAGCTGAGAAGCAGGCAGGAAAGAGCTACTTGCCATTTGACATAGTAGCTTCATCAATATAGGAGAGCCATTTCCGACATGGGTCTCTACAAGGGAAGCAGCACCCATTATTGCTCAGTTTACAACTTGATCAAGTGAGGCCAAAAGAGCAGGCCATTCCAGCTTCTTTTTTTGGCAGGGAAGAAGGGTATATGGAATACATTGTGTTGCGCTTTTGTATGTTTTCCTTAGGAATTATTGGACAGAGAGAGAGAAACTAATAGGTTTTTCTACATTCCCATCCTCTGTGATTAAAGCATTCTTCAATTTTGTGTATTTACTTTATCTTATGATACCATAGCTAGAAAAAAAATGCTGAAAGCTGAGTTCTTTACAATGCCTTCATAGATCATCTACAGCAAACGGTTAAACACAAACCAGTTTCCTCTGACTTTTTGCTCGCATTTAAAAACTACTTCTATACATTCCATACTCTGCCAACATTAATGAAAGAAATTAAACTTCTTTTTATTATTAGTCTAAGCCTGAGATTCCCAAAGTGTGGGAGACAGACTGTTGTGGGTTCCTGAGACCCTTTCAAGGGGTCTGCAAGGTCAACATACATTAAGACACTATTTGCCTTTTTCATTTCTTTGGGGTTCTCAAGTTTTAAGGATGTAAAGGCTTCCTTCATTAAAAAGTTTGAGAACTGCAGGTATAGACAATTAACTCTGGACAAATACCTTCTCAGCTCTAAGCCTCAGTTTCCTCCTCTGTAAATTGAAAGTAATAAAGCCTGCTCTTTTTCATACTAATACTATGAATATTAATTGAGAAATCATTTGGCAAACTGTAAACTATGAGACAAATATGTATTATGGTCATCGTATTATTGGGAGAAACAATATCTACTTTTTTAAAGACCGCATTTCAGAGTCAATGCTGTACAGCTTTGTGATTATCCATGCCATTACCCTCTTTTTTTTTTTTTTTTTGAGACAGAGTTTCACTCTTTTTGCCCAGGCTGGAGTGCAATGGCGCGATCTCAGCTCACTGCAACCTGCGCCTCCTGGGTTCAAGCGATTCTCCTGGCTCAGTCTCCGGAATAGCTGGGATTACAGGCATGCGCCACCACAGCCGCCTAATTTTGTATTTTTAGTAGAGACGAGGTTTACCCTCTTACACTAACAGTGGAACTGCCAAATGTAATTGATTCCTCTGAAGGGCACCAAGGAGCACTCTACCTCCAAGCATCACTCCTACCCTCCAAGCTGGTGACTTTAGAAAAGTAGGGATTTACCCCCAAACAGTCCTACCTCCTCTTTAATAACCCACTAGTATCCTACCAACTTGCAAACTATTCCTTCTATAAACACTTTGACCCTAAAGCAACCTCCTTTAATTTTACAGGGTGCTCCCTTGTTCTAATATGCTGAGATTTTATATCATTTGTACATTTTTGAGAACACACTAAAATATATCCCAAGATGTTATTAAATAGTTTTTAACGTATAATGCTAATTTCATTTATTTTCTAATCTGGAATCCAAACTGGTTTTTAAAGTATATTTGAAGTTCCTTTGTTCTCTGATTTTATTTCACATGTCTGGATGGAAAACACAGTGGTGAAGCTCTACTAAAGATAAAACTGGGCAATGTATAGAGATTTGGAAAGATTGACTATTTCATCAACTTCAGTAGAAGTTCTATGTATAGGTCAAACAGGTTCTACTCAAAGAGAGAAGTGCTTCCTGATGTTCATAATAAGATTTATTTCAACTATTTTGGCAATGGCACACTCCTAATGGCCTCAAGGATGCTGACAAAAGATTGCCCCTATGTGCTCCACCTACGTTTCATTAGTAAAACTACCTCAATAATTTTAATTTAATATATTATTACTAACCATGAGGGGCCTATTTTCTTCTTCATTTTCATCATAAGTAGGGTAGAAATAGTTGCTTGACCATTCCTCAGGTTCTTCAGAGATTTCTGCAGATTGTGACGCCTCAGTCCAAACTATAAGAAAAGTGTGGAATGTGGCAGTTACTTGATGGTGCTAATTTACCACAAGGTGAGAAATAAAACTAGCTATAATGCTTTAAAAAGTTGAATTTTAAAAAATGGATTAATCAATCTAATGTAAGCAGCAAATTAACAGATCTCATCCTGGCCACATTAAACTATTCATACAATCTTGGAAAAGTCATTGTCACTTTTTTCTAACTTGGTTTCCTCACCTGCCAAATGAAGGTATTAGTACTCTGGTCTCTCCTTACTTCTTTGGGGGCCACAACATAGATGACCTGAGGGAAGTGACCTTTAATTGGATAACTGGAAACTCAACAACACTATCATTACCTTTTTCTCCTCAACCAGTAGAGAAATCTTCCATATTAAGGATCATCATATTAAAGTGTTGAGTATCAGGCACACTGTTAGGCATTTCTCCAAAGAAGTCTATGCTATTGATCCTAGAGTTGCTTAGGTGATCCTCATGTATGCTTCTACAGCACTTTGTACTTCCCTGCTGTAACACTCACCAAATTTACTTTTAATTGCTTAACTATCTTTCTATTCTCCTAGCTTCATGAGTATGGCAGCTGAGTGTATCCTAATTAGACTATATGCCTAGCACTTTGTATAACTCCTGGAATGCAGATCGTGTTATGTCAATATTTGTTGAATTAAATAAAGTATTCAAAATCACTTCAAATAAAACCATTCACAGAGGAAGAATAAATATTCCAGCTGTTAATGACTCTTCTCTATTCATTAAACCAAGGGTAAGTGAAATGCGCATTCCTTGAAGCCAGTATATATGTTTTATTCATCACTATTATCCTTTATAGCAGGGGTTCCCAAACTTGAACACGCATCAGAATCACAGAGAGAGCGCCTGTTAAAACTCAAGTGGCTAGGCCTTGCTCCCAGAGTTTCTGATCCAGAAGGTCTGAATAGAGCAAGAGAATTTGTCTTCTGTAAAAGTTTTCAGGTGATGCTGATGCTACTGGCCCAGGGACCACACTTTGACAACCAATACTCTCTAGTGCCCATCAGAGTGTCTTGCATATGCAAGACATGAGAGTCTTATAAAAATGGGTTAACTGTATTTTGTTTATACAAAAATATCAAGTGGGTAGATTTCCAAATTAACAATGAAAGGTAAAAATTTGCACACCCATGAATCTTGTCTTAGGATGACCATGACACATACCTGTATTTGCTTCTGCCTGAACTGACGCAATTGCCTCACAGACCTCCACCACAGTGCTGGTGTGTTCCGATTCAGTTTCCTCAGTACTTATAAAAGCTCCCTGTTGCTTTCTGGAATAGTGATGTATAAAACTAAGTAAGCTTTTGTACAGTCTAAAAGTAAAAAGAAATTTAAAGTGGTATTTCTTCCACTGATATCAAGTGTTAAGAACATGCTGAGAATCCATCCAAACAGCCAACACTCCCTATTTAAATCTGCGTGACAATAGGTTATAATATACAAAAGCTTACATCTCAGATCCAAGCCGGCAGGTTCTCCATTATGTAAGGAGAAAAACTGCTCCCTTCTAGACCCAAAGTAGGTGTATTGTATACAATCCCCATTCCTCTGTGGACTTATAACATTGATGAATCAGGTAAGTTGTATATAAATGAAAATGAAACCTTCAACTGATTCATATTGTTGAGTATGTACCAGCTACTATTAAGTCAATCACTGCATAAAACCTAAAGATGTTACTCCTATAACGTACAAAAAAAGATTGAGTTTTTTGAACTCTGAAAGATAAAGACTTTCTCTGTAACTTTTAAACGGTTCTCCTAAATCTCCACGTGAACCATCACATGTTTCATCTGATTTTAGCTACCTCGGAAAGATGACATGCAGTGAAGGAAAAAATAGTATTTCTAATAAGTCATTCAATGATCCCCAGAGCATGCAGATGCTGCATGGTGAATCTCTGTGCCAGGCCTTCAGAATCAATGAGAGAATTCTTTCTGCATAGATGCAAACGTTCAGTGAAAACTCCACCTTTTGGAATTTCTAGAGTCAGAATACGATGACTCCATCTCTAAACCCATACCAGTGTGCTGTTACATAAGACTGCCAGCTTCCTTAATGACTCCTGGTTGTGTCCAGGCTCAGTTCCCTCCCAGGATCCATACCTTCTGTCTATGTAGAGAGAGGCCAAATCACCAGCAAGAGGTCTCCATCAAGAGACTGTAAAACTGTGAACCAGTCCTTCATTTGCTCTGTTCCCATATTCTTACAACTCTCTTTTTCCAATCAGATCAAAGGTGACCAAAAATATTTTGGGAAAAAAAAGGCTTATGAGCGCAGCCTCCTTTCCTGTCAGCCTACATGTAATTCTTCCAATGATATATTAAAAATAAAGCATTTTCAATCATGTTTAAAAATCAACCCAAGGGATAACTATTAAGAACTATCAGCCTCCAATATAAGGCCGGACCTGAGAAAATGATGTGTTTATGGAATTTGATGAGTTATTGCTAAATTGGTGGATGGTTCTTGTCTGAGATACTTTAATTACATTGTTTCATGTTACATACAGAATACAAAAGATTGCAGGAGTGATATTTCTTAAGAATAATCACTTACTCATCATTCTGCTGAAGAGAAATCTGAATCTTATCCTGTTCTGTTAATTGATCCTGTTGCTTTCTTTTTTTAACTGAGAAATAAAACAAAGCGTATTATCATTCAGAAGTCATACTTCTTACTTCCTTGAAGGCCAATTACTTTCACACACACACACACACACACACACACACACACACACAGACACACACACACGCATCTTTGCCATTAGACTTAACCTTCACAGACTTGAAATAATCAGAGGGAAGGCCGGTCTCAAGTTTGAATCTGGAAAGGTCTGAATCATATAATATTTTATTCAAGAAGTTCAACTTTAGAAGTAGAACTGGCTCCCATTCCAACATTATTGAGCAATGATTACTCGAGATACTAAGCAGAATCATCTCATGGAAAGGACTGGGAATTACCACAATCAGTTCACTGTGTTGCTTCTCAACTGCTTCTTAAGCACAAAGGTTCATTTTCTAGTGTAAAGTTCATCTCCAAAATAGTTTAAACAACCCTCGAATCTCGATCTCCTACTAATTAAATTAACAAATCTTCTCATTGTAATAGCGTAAAGTAAATATCAGCCCCATTCTTGGGAAAAATAATTTAAAAATCTGAGTCAATAAGCTGTTACTATACCTCGTGTTCTGAAGAATGCGTGCTTGAATTTACCTGTCAAAAGTTCCTGCTGCTTCAACAAAATATTTCTTATTTCTTTTAGCCATGTCATCTTCACATCTACATTAGGAGCCTGAAGATTAAAAAAAAAAGGGAGGTGGTACACATTTCCTTTCAAAAAGGATGTACTATAATAAAACAAATGTAATTGTGTACATAAAATATTATCGACTCCCTATAACACCATACTCAAATCTTAACCATCTGATTGTTAAAATTTTTATGAAGCAAATAATTCACTATCAGATTAGATGAGATAATACAATCAGAACCATTTTTGCTGTAATCCCAGGACTTTGGGAGGCCAAGGTGGGCAGATCTCTTGAGCCCAGGAGTTTGAGACCAGCCTGGGCAACATAGGGAAACCCCATCTCTACAAAAAATAATAATAATTAGCCAGGTGTGCTGGCACGTGCCTGTAGTCCCAGCTACTTGGGAGGGCAAGGTGGGAGAATCGCTTGAGCCTGGGAGGCAGAGGTTGAAGTGAGCTGAGATCACACCACTGCACTCCAGCCTGAGCAACAGGGTGAGACACTGTGTCAAAAAAAATCCATTTTGAAATTGCCCTTAAATTATGGTATAATAATGCTTGGACGAAAATGTGAAATATAATTTCACTTATTTTGTCTTTACAGGAGGATTATTTTTAAAATATAATGCTTTGATGTTTAATTTTAGTAAAATAAAACAAGTTCTATTATTTCCGAAAAGGCCATCTATTGCAGAATAACCTTGGTGACTGATGGTAACATGAAAGGTTCCTTAAATATCCTCCCATTACTTACAAGATATTTGTTAAATGATACCAAATATTATATCTTAAACAAACCAAGAAAACATATTTTCATAGATTGTAGTCAACTAGTAAAGAATTACAACAAACAAAACACACTGAGCATTTTTAACAGATAACAGCACATTGACAAGTCATGATACAAATATTTATTGCAATGACAACATCCTCTTGAAATGTTCTGATTCCTCTTCCCTTCCCTGAAACACACTGGACCCTATACAACTGGCGAGGGCTTTAACCATGTTCTTTAGAAGTAGAAAGCAAGTCTGAACTGTCACATTCCCATGTCTCATAATCAGGTACCCCTAGAATGCTTAGCACAAGAGGAACTCAGAGACATTACAATTCCATAACTTGGAAACTAGATGGGGACAGAGAAGTACCTGCCAAGCTGTCAGCTCTAGTTGATAAGTCTCCTATGTAGTTGTGAAAACTTGAAGCCCTAGAGAACACCACAGGCATATCTCAATGTAGCTACTAGAAAACATTTAAATACATCACAAAGAATATTCAAATAATATTTAAGTGACCTACATGAAAGGAGTGGAAATTGTGAAATGTGACCAAAATTATTTTTGTTTATAAATTCGGGCTTTTGTATTTCAATGCAGGTTTTGGTTTCTAGAAGAATTTTAAAATGACCAACCTGGACAATATAAACTTCTTCCTTTTCACCATACCAGATTTCAAACTTGCGGTTATCACCTTTTACATATTCAGTGAATCCAACTTCATCCATCTATAATAAATAAGTCAAAATTTTCATGAGCATTTTATTTCGAATATGAAATTACATTAAATCTACCCTATCATATTCTAAATGAAACAGAATTTCTCTTGGGCAGAAAAATACATGTTATATTAAATGAATATGAAATGATAATTACAATAATAGACGAGAGTATTTAAATGTTTTCATTGAACTATGCACTTTATAGTTCAGATTGCATGCTTCATTTCAGTGGTTGACACAAATGTTATAAATCTGAACATCCAAGTAGCCCATCTAAGATCTAATTATGTTATAAATTAATAGTACACTATTAAAACAAATTATTGGGTCAAACACAGAAGTAATTAAACATCAATAAAGAAAAGCCACTGAAAATTAATTTAAATGGTTATTTAGAATAATCATTTGACAGATCATTTAATCTTACAAATTATAATTTATTTTGATAGAAGCCTTACAAGTTACAAACATTTAATTTATGGGACAGGAGAGAACCAGCCAGGTACCTACACAAGGATCTCTCTATTTTCCACCAATCTCTTGGCCTTTCTAAAAAAAAACAAATAATATGTCATGGGACATTGTTGTCTTTTTGTACCCAGTGAAACTTCTGTACACAATATCTCTTCCTTACCACAGTTTTTTCTTCTCCTCAACGTGATCATGCAAGTCATAAACTCTTCCATTTTCTTTCATCGTTTTCTGCTAACAGCTTGGCTAATTGCATTTTGGGCAATCTCATTCCTTTGCACAAACATTCTTTTAGTCCTTTCTGCCTTCCTCTTTTCTTTCAGTTCATACGTAATTATCTAAAGGAGTATCTCACTCTCTGTTCTTGTTATGAGCTCCCCAAATGGCCCTAGTTAGAGCTGATAAGCATTAAAGGTAGTGCTAGGGAGATTGCCATACCAAGGAGAAGAAAAGTACTTATGCTTAGAAATGTAACTTAACATATTAATGAAAGAAACCGTGACATCCACCCTGAATGTAAGTAAGAAGTTATTTTCACAATGTCCCAAACTATCTTTATATTCTCACTCCACCATTCCAACTAACCTGCTTCCGCTCAAATATCACAATTTAAGATGAATAGTAATCTCATATTCAATATTTTTAAAAATTAATTTTGTTTCATTACATGCTTTTGTCTTAATAACATGATAAGCTGGAAGGCACACAGGCTTTGAAGTTAGAGAGGTCTGGATTGGAATACATCTCTACCATTCACTAGCTAGCTATGTGTCTCAGGGCAAGTTGCTTAACTTTTCTAAACTTCAGTTTCCTCAACTATAAAATGGAAAGAACACCTATTTCATAGGGTTGATATAAGGACTAAATAGCATGGAGTAAATGCTTAGATTCTATAATGAGCTTTTTAAAGTATGAATTTGCTTTCTACTCCTTCCCCTATTTAAATTGCAATTTTTTTGTTATTTTTTATTGCAAACATCTAGTACATCATTATCGATTAAGTGAACTTTTCTGAGTTGTCCTGGAAATCTAACCATTATGTATTGCACATAGTAAGGACTATGTGCAGGTTTGTTAAATTTTTAAAAATCAATGATAATAAACACATGAACTAAGGAATCTGAAGGACTCGAATCTCCCCATCTGGTCAACTTTGACTTTAGATAGGGCCTTTCCTTGTATATAAGTGGCCAACTTAAAATATAACATATAAATCATTAGAAAGTACACGGTCAGGCCATGGGGTTCCAGGTTTGTATGGTGCAGTCAAAACAAGAGTTCATTTAAAGTGAGAGACATAGACAAAGGCAACAACAGACACTGGGGACTACCAGAGGAGGGATGGAGGGGGAGGGACAAGGGTTGGAAAACTAACTCTTGGGGACAATGCTCAGTACCTGGGTGATGGGATATTTGTACCCCAAACCTCAACATCATGCAATACAGCCAGGTAACAAACCTGCATATGTACCCCCTGAATCTAAAATAAAAGTTAAAAAAAAGTGAGAGAGAAGGTTATGATCCTCTCTAAAAAGGGTAAGACTTTGAAAACAATAACCCAAATTGTTAAACAACACATTGACTAGGAATGCTAGCAATTGCTTAATGCTGGAATCTCATGATAAGCAGGCAAGCAGAAGTGAGCATAGTGAACCCTAAGAAATATCCTAATTTTCAGTGGTATCACCATTTTCCCAGGAATCCTGGTCTAAAGCCTTGTAGGCATCACTGGCTAATGTTTTTTATTAAGGATATTCGGCATTACTGGGGAACCAAAGAAGAATCAGAAAGATTTTCTTCCTTCAATGTCAGGTATTATTTAATTTTTGTAGCTAGTAAGTCATCAAGCCCATCTGTCTACTTTCTATTGAAATGTTTCTTGCATCTATCCCACCTTCTCTGTTTCCATGGTACTTACTGCAGTTTCAGTTCTCATGACTTAATCACCTAATATCCCCCTTACTTTAATGTACTCAAGAAACCTTTTGTTGGCATGTCCATCATTGTAACAAATTAAGGGTAAAATAGAAACTTAATATGAAATAGAAATACTGTATTAGGTAGAAATTAGGTCACCTCACAATAAAATGTACATCAAATGGATTTGGGTCAAATATGCCTATGAAAGTAAAGTACCTTCCCAAGGAATAGGTATATAGACAGCAAGAGATTTGAGCCCTCTGTGACATAGATTACAAGTTTTTGGTTCTCAATCAATGTTTGTTAATGACTTAGAAGGCCCTTTGAGATTTGGGGGCTTAGAGGTGGACTGCTAAAATCAAAGGAGCAACTGGATGAAAACAACAGTTTTAAAGAAGCTGCTGTGGGTTCAGAGTGAAGCAGGGAAAATAGATGATAGGAAGAACTACTTCTTTTTGACCTGACCCTGGGCAGGAACCTTGTTAGAAACAACTAGGGGCTGCTGATCCTATGGGAAGAATCAAAAGCAAGGCCTGCTTGTAGGTAGTCTCCTAATACAAACACCTCATGCCTGTCTCAAAACATATTGCCTGTCCACTTTATAACTGCTGCTGAAAATTTTATCAATTGTCAAATATACTGGTGATGAGAACCATGAAAGAACATGCTCATGAAAAGTGACTAATGTGATAGTGGTTGGTGAATTAAGGACAATCATTTTCTCTATTTTTGAAATTTTCTGTGACAAATGTTATATTGGTTTTAGAATTTAAAATTCAAAAGATGAAATTCATTAGATGTAAAAAAACTTCAAATTTGTCAATTATGGGTATCTTGTGAATTGGAGGTTCCTCTTCTCTAATGGAGAAACCAGCTGTTAAGTATCATTGGGTTGTCAATAACTTCCCCAAACAAAACTGTTCTCATTTTAATAACAAACTAATATTAGGAAAAAAATGGGGATTTGGTTTATAGGAGAGAATAAAGTAATTTTGAAAGATGGAACAGGATAGATATGGAAAGGATTCAGCTATAGGTGGCTTTGAACACCCACGAAGGGTGGAGTTAGGGAATGGAGGAGGAACATGGAAAGGAAGGTGGGGACATGCTAAATACAAAAGTTATCCATTTTTAAATTGCATTGAGGAAAAGGAGGTAACTCTTTCCTCCCTGTCTCTCCTGTAGCATAAGGCTCCTTTCTAATAAGACCAAGAACTCCAGCCAGTGCCACTGGAAAGAGAGTGCTTATGAGGAGGCTGGGACACTCCTTCTTATCTCAAGCCATGCTCTTCGGGATGCTAGGGGGCCCCCTTGGGGAATACCTAATATTGTAGTGAGAAGAAAGGCAGGAATCAAAGCTATGAATTCCCTCACCTTCACTTCAAGCAGAGAAGTTATGATTCATCTGACTTCTACATAAGACTTAAGATTTAAAAAAACAACAACAAAGATGTGCAGCTACAGTATAAAATGTACTATTTGAAACAAAAAAAAATGTGCAAACTGGGAGACACACACACACACACACACACACACACACACACGAAACAATACTACATTACCCGATACAAATTGTCTTACTTTCCAACAGTGTTTAAAACTGTATGATGGGTATCTATCAGAGCCTTCTCCACTTTCAACACGCCTTTTGCAAAAAACAATGGCTTTTTCATACAAGAAAAGATGTCGCTGCATTGGTTTGAATCTAGCCAAATCCTTCATTTTTGTAGCACCTTTCTTGTGTCCTATCCAAACACTAAATCCACCTTGCATTATCATCTTGCCCAGTTCATTTAAGTTTCCCTAGAATGGAAAATCAAAACCCATTAGTAGAAAGCAAAGCTACATTCAGCTCTCTGACATCAACATGTTAGTGTTTAGCTTGGGCTACTAAAACCCTGAAGAATAATTTATGTTTTTTAAAAACTTAACTTTGTATGTTAAAACATGGCATGCACCACATAAGTACAAAATTACTGTGGGGGTGGGGGACAAAAGAAACTTCCTTTTCTCTGGCTTCATATCATCTGGAGGTATTTCAGCCAGGGTAAGTCTCCCCATCTCTTCTTCAGTCCTGATTGGTGCATGATATATACCAGTTCAAGTTTTCCCACTGGGTGGAGCTAACCTGTTAAAAGGTGACACAAGTGCTAAAGATTTGATTCTTTTCTTTCCTGTCTATTCCTATCTATAGGGGCAAGCAGCAATTATGAAACAATACGTTTTCTTAGCTGACCCAAGCATTCCTTAAGCAGGATCTCCCAGGTCTGGGATTGGGGGAAGACCGTTATGGACAAGGGGGATCTCATAAATCCATTTGACTGCTGATCTGAAGCCAATTCTCCACTCAGCATTATCAGTAGTAATATCAACATTTTGATCTCCATTTATCTGATTCTTATATGTTATTTCTCAATTGGTTCCAAGAGGGGAAAAGGGACGTTGAGATGTTGACCCTCTAAAATTCCAACAATTATTAAAATGTGCTTACAATATAGCCATTTATTGCAATCTGATGCATAGAATCATTAACTGACTTCAGTAAATCCAGCATTGCATCGAGTGCCTCCTTTAACAGAGCAGATCCTTCACAGTCTTTGCTATATTTTAATAGCTCCTGTAATTAGAAATCAGGAATTAATATTAGGCAGATATTAATATCTGATTGAAATGAATAAGTTTTTGGCTAACATGCTTTCAAGCTGGAATCCAAATATAATGTCACATTTTGGAGTAATTCCTTTTACATGCTCTTTGCTGCAGTAATATTTTTAATAACTGTCAAAATAGAGGAAGTAGAATAGTGACTGAATATTATAAAACAAAGGACATTTAATGCTTCTGGAATTGAAGTATAATAGCTATTAAGACACATCAGAGATCAGTTTTTAAAGCCATTACATGTAGGGTTCTTTTGTCCTCTACATACAATAATTTGTTTTAGCCATGATGCACTCATAACGCATATAGCATAGAACATTATGAAAATTCATTTTAAAACAAGTCGTATTGTATTTATATTTAACACAAGATTCTAGTAATCCTTTTGCATTATACCAGGGGAGTGCCATTTGCATTCTTCATTAGGAAGGCCCCTATGAAATACAGCCTCAAAACTATAAGAAATATTTGTTTGTTTAGTTCTTCTTACAAATATTTAAAGTTCTTCAGTAAAACATTGTGCGGAAATCAACACAACTTGTATGAAAAATTAAATAGCTAAGACTCCAGATATTCTCAGCCTGATATCTATGTCTATGGCATTTGTAGCCACAGTGAATTGATGGAGCACACTGCAAAATTCTGCCAAATCCAGCCTTCCCAGTCATTGAGCCTACCTATTTCTAGTGCTTTCTAGTAAACTATTTCCTTTTTAATGGCTTTGCCCTATCTGACTCAAAAAGTAAAGAAACAAACAAATGCTTCATATAATTACCTTCAACAATAACTGATATTTAGTGATTCGTTGCACTGGTTTGAGTAAATAGGAATCCAGTCTAAGTCTGTGTTTTAACTTTCTTTGACATTCCTGTCATTAAAAGACAAATATCAATAAAATTAAATTAAGACATGCACCCTGTGAAAATGCCAAGTGTTCATTGATTAAACCTAATGCCCCAATGTTTCTTACATCTCAAAGAAAATTTATTGGAAAAGTCACTGTTATAGTACAGAAATTACAAGACACAGTATATCTGAAAAACTACCATAAACACTGTTTCAAGGATTGGAGAGGTAAACAATTTCAACATTTCAAAGATTTAAAAGTGTTCAAATATAAATTCATATTGATGTGGAATGCTTAAAAGGTGTGAAAGCAGGGAATGACTATTGATTAACATGATTAAAACATTCTTTAATATATTCAAGAAAATTCACAAAAGACCAAGCTCTATAAGCCAAGGCTCAGAAAAGAAATTGGTTGTGCTGAATATAAATCAGACTGGATATGAGAACAAAATTGTTAATATCACAAATAAAGCCCTCATCAACTGGTGCTATACTTCAACCAGTAATTGGCCCATTGCCACTATAAATATAAAGGTCATGACATTGAGTTTTGGGAACATTGTAGGGGTCCATAGTCAGGGCAAGATGCAGGTATTTAGGATGAAATGTGCATAGAGAAAGTACAGAACATGAAGGGATTGGGGAAACAATACGCCTGAATAAGAACCATGGCTCTCGTCTGAATATGGGTAAAATCCAGCATACAATCTAATTCAAACAAGAGTTAAAGATGGAGGACTGCTATTAGGTTGGTGCAAAAGTGATTGCGGTTTTTGTCATTACTTTCAGTGGCAAAAACTGCAGTAACTTTTGCACCAACTTGATACACGCACTTAACTCTCCTCACTCATGACACCCAACTAAAATGATGGAAAAGTTATCTTACTAGGCAAAATCACAAAGTTATGAAGAAGATGAGAAAGGGGAAAACTTCAGCAAAATTTGGAAACTGGAGACCAAACTTAGAAGTGGTCAACAACTGAGCACACTGGAGAAAAGTGGATTTCAAGTTGGTGGAGGAAAAAGCCAAGGAGCAACTCAATTTACATTATAAACATCTCCTCCCTGCCCTCCACAAAGTCTCATGGATTATAGACACCAAGTACCTCTGAAAGTGGGAGGTAAAGTTGAGGTTCAAGAAAGGATGCTTGTTGAAAGTCTTTTAAAGAAGTAATTAGATAATAACAAATGTTGGTGAGGATATGGAGCAATTAATACCCTCATACACTGCTGTCAGAAATGTAAAATGGTGCAGTAACTTTGGAAAAGAGTCTAGCAGTGTCTCAAAAAAGTTAAATGTAGAGTTACTATATGACCCAGCACTTTTACTCCCAGGTATATAGCCAGGAGGAATGAAAACACATGTCTACAAAAAAACTTGTACAAAAGCATTCTTAGCAGCATTGTTCACAATAATCAAAAGGTAGAAACAAGCCAAATGTGCATCAATCAATGAATGGATAAATAAAATGCTATATATCCATATAATGGAATATTATTCAACCACAAATAGGAATAAAAAACTAATACATGCTACAGCATGGATGAACCACTAAAATATTATGCTAAATGAAAGAAAGAAGTCAAACACAAAAGACCACATATTGTATCATTCCATTTATATGAAATCTCCAGAACAGGTAAATCTATTGAAGACAGCAAGTAGATTAGTGGTTGCCTAGGGCTGCTAAGATTGGGGAAAAAAGGGAAGGTAGCTGCTAAAAGGTACTGGTTTCTTTCTAGTGATCAAAAACATTATTAAATTGATTGTGGTGATGGTTGTCAACCTTGTGAATATAGTAAAACCACTGAATTGTATACTTTAAAAGGGTGAACTGATGGCATTTTAATTATATCTCAATACAGCTGTTACAAAAAGAAAATAAATGGCATGAAAAATCTAAATAAAAGCAATAAGGCTCTCAGATAACCATACTACTTTGCACAGCTGGGTGCCTTCTCTTCCCTTCCTTTGGCAGAAAAATGGATGTTTATCTAGAAAGAGTAAAACACAGGGCCTGTGGACTAAAGGATACAAGGTTCAACTTAGGGCAGAGTACCATATTGAAAAATATTCAAGCACTCTCCATGTTATATCTCAAACAAGTGACCCTTAGTCTTTTCTCCTAACTTGGCTACTACAACACAAGCATCCAGATCATTATACACAAGGTAGCAATTCAAGGACTCTGACCAGCCTAATAGAAATGCTCCAAAGATACAGGTATGGGGGAATCCCTTCAAGCAAATAGCTTGAGACAAATAACTCAACAATGAGGATCATGGTCAATAAACCCACACATGCCCTGGAAACTTCCAATGAGATTTTTAGTCTTTACTCCTAATGTAAGTGGATAGACAAGTATCACCAGACATTTGAGGAGAGCATCAAAGATGGGTAATAGGAACCAAACAAAGAGAAATAGAAAGAAAAAAAGCAACATGAAGACAACAGAAGCTGTGCAGGGAGAAGAAAACAATTTTTAAAAGAAAAATCAATTATCATCTTTGTATAGATGAATGAAGATACTGAATTCATAAAATGAAATCAGAATTCTTTTTTTTTGTTTGTTTGAGACGGAGTCTCCCTCTGTCGCCCAGGCTGGAGCGCAGTGGCCGGATCTCAGCTCACTGCAAGCTCCGCCTCCCAGGTTTATGCCATTCTCCTGCCTCAGCCTCCCGAGTAGCTGGGACTACAGGCGCCCGCCACCTCGCCCGGCTAGTTTTTTTGTATTTTTTTTAGCAGAGACGGGGTTTCACCATGTTGGCCAGGATGGTCTCGATATCCTGACCTCGTGATCCGCCCGTCTCGGCCTCCCAAAGTGCTGGGATTACAGGCTTGAACCACCGCGCCTGGCACATAATTCTATTAAAAGAAACATTGAAAAAATAGAAAAAGGATGAGGGCTCTTCAAAATTAAAAACACAATGGCAGAAATGGAAACCTCAATAGAAGGACTAGGAACTAGAGTAAGAAGACAAAGAATAGAAAATAGAAAAGATAAGATAATTAGAGGACCAGTCCAGGATATCCAATATCTGTGCAACAGAAATTCCAAAAAGAGAAAATGGAGAAAATTGGGTGGAGGAAATCAAAGAAAAACTCCAAGTAAATTTGGACAGGAGTTTCCAAATTCAAATTTATCACCCCAAGACTAGCATAATGGATAAAAAACAGTGCCAACATTTGAACACTGAAAATAAAATAAGTTTTCATAAGCTTTCAGAGGACAGAAACTAAGTCACCTGCAAAGGAGCAAAAATTAAAATGGCATCAGATTTCTGAATAGCAACACTGGAAGCTAGAAGACAATTAAGCAATACCTTCAAAATTCTGAGTGTAATTATTTCTTACCTAGAATTCTATACACAGCCAAACTAGTAACGAAGTCTTAGGGTAGAATAAAGATATTTGCAGACACATACACTCTCAAAAACTTCTATGTACTGTGTACACTTTCTCAGGAAAACTACTGGAGGATGTGTTCCACCAAATAAGGGAGGTAAACAAGAAAGATAAAGACATGGCACCTAGGAAGGAGGAGAGCCTATGCAACAGACGACAGGTGAGGAGAATTCCAAAAATTATGTTCACCAAGATGCCCAGATGACAGCTGTGCAACAGGCCTAGTGAGTCTAGACAAGCAAGACAGAAAATCCCAGGAGATATTTCTTTAAGAATATGAAATTCAGAGGAAATAGAACGTGTTTAAATGTAATAAGAAGAGATTTTTGTAACTCCCACATCTGGGAGAGGCTGGGGTAGAATAATGATAAGTATCTAGAAAACTGAGTAAAAAGACCATTGCAAGACAAACAGAAGGGAAGGAAAAGCAACCCTATTATACCACATGATTCATCTGAGCAAAGAAATTACATAATCTTAATTTAACACTGTATATCTAACCAAAATTACGATATGACTATAGTGGAGATTTTGAAAGAAAAGAAGTATATTTGTATATGTGGTAGTTGGGTGGGAGGCTGTGAAAGAGAGCTAAGTCTTCATCTCCCATAGGAGAAAGGAGAAAGATAAGTATGTCATTTGGAGCTATGGAGGTAAATACCAAAGGATGTAGCTAAAAGTGCTGAAAGTGTTTGCCTCTGGGAAGTTACAAATGTGTTTGTGTGTGTTGGGGGGAGGGTGGATTTGCTCTTTAACCTATATACGTATATGCATATGTAATGTGCTTAAAGTAGAAAATGAATTTATGATTAATAAATATCCCAATATCTTCCAGAAAGAGTATATCCAATACTTGAATAATTACTATACCTGGAAAAACGCACATTCTGAATACTTCCTCCAAATTGTTTCTGATCTGGGCTTATTCTGACAATATTTTGCATACATCTGAAAATCATCCTTCTGTGATAAAAAACAAATTCAAATGTATTACTAATTTGTGAATATGACTTTTGCCATCAAGAAAGGCTAAACAAGAGTGTAACCAAGCATCCTAGGAAATGTGGCCTAAAGGGCCTACTGTACTAGCAGCTGGTCAAAAGCCTTCTTTACGTTCCAAGAACAGCATGCCCATTGCATCTGGTGGAAGGACACATAATTATCTAAGTAATATCAGAACTTCCACTTGCCAAGCTTGAGGCTTAGATGGAGCCTTCTCTGTCTGAACTATAGAAACCTACTTTTTTGCATAATGATGAACTAATAGGGTGCCAAGAAATATATTCTGTTATTAGTCTCTTGATTCCCTAGTGAATGAACTTGTATATGACTTCCAAGTTAGAGCCTACAGTCCTAGGTTCATCATTGGGACATTATCATTGCAGCATAATCCATTTAGGCACTTAAGCAATTCTCTCTCCCTGAAATCCTCTTTCTCTGACCCTCATGAATGGGCTACCTTCTACTCATTATTTAACATTTATCTCACGAGTTATCTCTTCTATAAAACCATTGTTTATACCCCCATTCTATGTAAGATGCCCCTCTTCTGGAGTTTCCCAGGACCATTTGTATATTTTGAATCTAATGCAAGTCATCTTCTACACAATTAATAATTTCCCTGTTTTTATACCTAAATAGATTTGGGCTTGGTATCCACATTATCTGGCACAATGCTTGGTGCATAGTAGGTGACCAGTAAATGGTTGTTGAATAAATAAATAATTCATCAATAAACATTTATTAAACTACAACTGGTTATTAAGAATGCTGCTAACCTGATGAGAGATACAACAATATATAGGATATAGACTCTGGATCTAAGGGCTTTCCATTAAGTTTCGGGGAAAATTCATGTATACATGTAAAGGTGCACAAGCACAATAAATATAAAGTCTCCAATGAGTAGGACAGACATTACATACTATAGAGTCTAAAGGAAGGATAAATTGCTATTGCTTGAGGAAGTTGGGAAAGAATTTGATCATAACTTAAATGTGTTTAAAGTTAAAACATCTTAGTCGGGCGTGGTGGCTCACACCTGTAATCCCAGCACTTTGGGAGGCCGAGGCAGGTGGATCACGAGGTCAGGAGATCAAGACCATCCTGGCTAACATGGTGAAACCCTGTCTCTACTAAAAATACAAAAAATTAGTTGGGCGTGGTGGTGGGCGCCTGTAGTCCCAGCTACTTGGGAGGCTGAGGCAGGAGAATGGCGTGAACCCAGGAGGCAGAGGTTGCAGTGAGCCGAGATTGCACCACTGCACTCCAGCCTGGGTGACAAAGCAAGACTCCGTCTCAAAAAAAAAAAAAAAAATTTAAAAATTAAAAAATAAAGTTAGAACATGTTGAGCAAGGTTGACACACAGTTCTTTCTTATCCTTATTCTCTTCTCATTTCATAAACACTTTGTGGGATAAGATATCTATTTTGAAGCTTTCAAAAATCACCTCTATTGAATAAACTCATAAATCAAGACAAAACTAATCTTTCAGGAAGAAGAGAAACTACATAAGCAGAGAAGCATACATGAAAAATATTCTAACAGAAAACTCTAATGAAGGAGAGTATGATCACTAACTTGGAAAGTCAATTGTATTAACCATACTCCGGACACAGAGGAATGGGCCTCCCTAATGCTTTTGTTGAATGAAAAGAACTGACAGCTCTCTGTTTCTATGAAGTTCCTGTGATAGATGCCTTGGTGGCTGGAAGTCAGACTGGATCCAATTCTAAAACTTTACATGTATTTTAATAAGACAAATATTATAAATAATAAGGTGTTTTTTAGGCAAAAAAATTAACCAAGCCCCAGATAGTTTTGTTATGATGATCCCAACTCTTACATCTTCATAGCCAGGATTGTCCCTGGATTACTAGGATTACCCAGGAGTCAGTGTTCAAGAGCTGAGCCACTGAAGCATTTGATACCACAGAATGGAATGGGCATTTTTATGCTCTGGATGTCCCAGTGCTTTCATTTCTGCAGCAAAACTTGGTTTGGTATGAAATACTCACTGGAGGAATGTATCTTCTCCAAAAACATAAAGACATAAAGTACCTATCTCGTCGCCAAATCTGTTCTTATAAGTGCATTGCCAATTTGGTGGTGCATATTTATATATTTAAAAAAATAATTTAACTAACCCTTTCCAGGAAACAAGGTCCCACGCTTTCTGGAGCATGAGCGCAATTTTCCAGGCTGCTCAAGAAAATGCTGTGAAAATTTCAGAGAAAAAAAAAATTACATGATTTTATGTGAAATATAATAAACTGGTCAAGAGAGCACTTTAAATAGTTTCATAAAAAATAAATATTCAATTCAGCAATTACATACTCATTATGGAATTCATATATTTCTGCCATGTTTCCAAAGAGAACGTCCTTTTTATTTCTCAGGAGAGGTGGCATAAGATCAAACATCTCTGGATTATCCATCTCCGCTCTATAACCCTACCCAAAATAAATACATTCATGCATTTTAAAATATTTACATGCACATTTGGTTGGGCTACTAATGGTGTAGGTACAGCAGAATATTAGGGGATTTGAAGGTGAAGTTGTTTGAATTTTAATTCAATTTTAATTCAATTCAAATCTCCTACCCAAAGTTATCCATGATTTTTTTTTTTTTTTGAGAAGGCAGGACAAGGAAAGGAAGTCAAGGTTTTCCAGTCAATAGACAGAATAAAGTAATAGCTCTTTGGCCTTCAGAGTAGCTTGTAGTGTAGGAAACAAGATAGAAACCAAGATAAAAACATAGATTACAGGTCATCAGCTTCTCCTTAAATTGGCAATATGTGTTTAGGTTTTTTCAGACCAAATTCATATCATGACATTTTTGTCAAATGACTATTTTATCCCATTCTCAGTTTTTTACATCACAATCTTCTAAATAGCACCCTGGGAATAACTGTAACAATCGGCTGTATCCTTAAGAGAACATTTTCTCTTCTGTAATAAACTCTAAATCAATCATTTCCATTACTGAGGGAGAGCCTGAATGTGCACGTTTAGCCAACATGCTGCATCCAACAATAAAAGAAATGCCCACTGCTGCCATATGACAACCAGGGAAGGAGATGGAAGTAGAAGATTGTCCCTAAACACCTTCTAATGAATGTAGCAAGGGTTCATTCGGGAAAAGAGAGGGCAAATACAATTTGAATAGCTTACCAACAAAACAGTATACAGTTCTCGAACATAAACTCTCTCAGTCTGTATCAGTTCATTTAGGACGTGGCTAAAATGAAAAGACCATATTTATCAGTTATTTTATTACTGAGATCTATATTGCAATGTTTCAAGTATTATCATCATGAGAAGGTAAAACTAGCTAATGTATAGGAACTATCAATGGTTTTTGTTTTAGCATCAAAATATGAAACTACATTTATGGTTTCTAGAATAAAAACTATATATATAGTCTTATGGGTGGTTTTTATTCATTATATTTATATCCATTTATATATATATATATATCCTGCTTTTTTCATATATATATATACGCTCAAGGGTTACTATAAGCTTTAAAGAACTTTATTTCTAACTCACTGAGATTAGGAATAAATTTACTAAAAACTCACAATAACTATTCTTAAATGTCTGAGGTTTTTATTGTTTTGGGGTAGCATAGTTTATGAATTTTAATACCCTTTTTTTCCCTAAAAAATAAGTATTAGCATTTTAGGCACTATTTTTCCCTTTTCCCAGTAATGTTCTGAAATTTTCTAAGGGAGGCAGTAGATATTTTTTACCATGTCTCCCAAAGTGTAGGTCATAGTTATATTTCATATATATATATATATAAAATTTTTTCTTTTTTTTTTTTGAGACGGAATCTCACTCTGTCACCCAGGTTTGAGTGCAGTGGGGTAATCTCAGCTCACTGCAACCTCCACCTCCCGGGTTCAAGAGTTTCTCCTTCCTCAGCCTCCCTAGTAGCTGGGATTACAGGCGCTTGCCACCACACCTGGCTAATTTTTGTATTTTTTGGTATAGACAGGGTTTCACCATGTTTGTCAGGCGGGTCTCAAACTCCTGACCTCAAGTGATCTGCCCGCCTGGGCCTCCCAACATGCTGGAACTGCAGGCATGAATAACCATGCCCCACCCATTTCTGTAATAATTTTATTATCTCTGGAAAATAAAATATATTTTCTTTTCAATGTGATTTCCAATTGATGTCATATTTAAAACTCATTTCCCTTGTCCCCAGTATAAGTAAGCTATTTGATTTTAAATTATACTTTTGACTTTTTTTTTCTTTTTCTTTTTGGATATTAAAGCATTTAACATTTGAGAGCTTTATAGTATATGTGTGTGTGTGTGCGTGTGTGTGTGTATATATATGTATGTATCTCATACACACATATGTGTACCTACAACTTGCTGCAAAATGCTTGCTAATTACAACTCTGTAATATAAAATTAAAAAGATGAATATTCTTATGTCTAGAATATTAATATACCATTATAACAGTGAACAAAACAATTATTAACATCTATTAAATAACATTGTATAAATCTGTATAATCCTTTGTAATTTTTGATGTACCATTCTATTCATTTTGTATACCGAAATTTGCTAAGAGAATAGATCTTAACTGTTCTCACCACACAAAAAAAATGGTAACTATGTGAGGTGATAGATGTGTTAACTAACTTGATATGGTAATCATTTCACAATATATACACATATCAAAGCATTACATTGTACACTTTAAATATATGTAATTTTGTCAATTATATATCAATAAAGCTGAAGAATTAGTAGATAAGGTAATTACCATGATTTGATCATTATACATTGTACACATGTATCAAAATTTCACACTGTATTCCATAAATATGTACAATGATTATGTGTCGATGAAAAATAATAATAAAACTTTTTGAAGAATGATAAACAAAAACCTCCATTTTATTTCAGTCTGGGCAAAAAAAAAAAAAAAGAGGATAGCAACATTCTGAAAAAGTTTAGTTAATTTTCTTCAAATCACATAAACAGGCCATAGGTTGGCCAGGCCTAAAACCTGGACTTCTGACACCTAAACTAGTGCTCTTTTCATCATACCCAGTAAAACCCCATTCTGTGAACTCAAATTTCTAATTACATTGGCCTTGAACACTGAACCAGACTCCCACAGTTAGATGTGTATGTGAGTTTATATTAATAAATAAAGGATACTTCTTTAAGACATCCAAGCTATTGCCATTGTCCAAACTGGAGGATTGACCAGAACTTCTCTTCTCCTGACAATCATGCACCACTTCAATCTGAAATACAACAAATAAAAGTTAAATTAGCATCTCTGTAGGTATAATTATTCTTCAAGGCTATCCAGCTCAAATTAAGTTTATTCTAGGTCCTAACTCTGAAGATAAATTGAAAAATAAAACTATGATATTTTTCAAAATAACTTTGATACATACTAGTAAAAAGTGATTTGAGTTGCCTAAGAAAACAGATTTAAGACACTAATTAGAACTTACTTTATGTATTAACTCTCTATTTATTTGGCATTCTTGGAAAATAAGGTTGATTCATAAAAAGTTAATTTTCTAGATAACTAAAGTGTATTCATTGAAGAACCAACCATCTTTTTAACCATAGTGATTTCTGATGGAAACCTTTCTAGAAAATATTACATGCATCCTTGAATTCTTTAATCAAAGACACACAACATAACTGATCTTTTTTCTTTATTTTTTTTTCTAAGATCTGGGGCAAGCTAGAAGATCCTTTTCCTAATGATTCAATGGCATCATCATAAGCTTGAACATGATAAAATCTAATGATGTGCTGCAGGGATACCTGCAGAACCCTATTCTTTCTTGAAATAACTGTAACCTGTACATCTCTGTCTCTACTCCCTGCCACATGTTAGTTTTTATAAGTTGCCTCCCTAATTCTAAGTGATTGCCTTATTTTACAGACTCTAAAGGACTTGGACTGGCCTACTGAGTCAACTGCAAAAGATTTGTGATGATTATTTGTTCTTAAGAAGCATTTGAAGTGTATTCCTGGTATCCAATCTCAGCCGTATTGGACAGCTGAGCTTGCCAAAAGCCTGACCCCCAAGTAAATGTAACATTGCTTTGTGACAACTGGAACCCCAAATTAAGTACAGTATCTATCAGCTAAGTATTTCCCCAAAATGTGACCTACTTATTACAAATGAAAGAAACAAACATGCATTACGACTTTCTATATATTAGGCATGCACAGTCCTATATTATACACATATTATATTTATACACATATTATATTTAATGCAAACAGCATTTAGCAAGTGATGGCATTCTTTTCCTCATTTTAAATATGGGAAAACTGAGGCTCAGAGAGATTTTATAACATGTAATACTACAGAATTTGGCATTCACGCTGTTTCTTTCTTGAAACCAGAAGTTGTGGCTGTACCAAATAATAACCAGGCCTGGTATATCAGTATAGACCATTCACTAGGCTGCTATTAATTACATTAAAACTTAGAGCATTATCATATGCCACGCATGTTCAAAGTGCTTCACAAATATTAGATCATTTTGTCTTTAACTCCATGATGAGAGTGTTCTATTCTTATGCCCATTTTATATATGGAAATTGAGTTCCAGAGAACTTACCCAAGTTTATAAAGCCAGTAAGTGATGGCACTGGGATTATAAGCCAGGCAGTCTAGGTTTACAATTTGTACCACTACGCTACACTGCCCCTTAAAAATATGTTCTCATCTTTATTTACCACAAAAAACACACGAAGAATATGTGGGGTCTTGGGGACCGGGAGCAGTGGCTCATGCCTGTAATCCCAACACTTTGGGAGACCAAGGCGGGAGGATCACCTGAGGCCAGGAGTTTAAGATCAGCCTTGGCAACATAGCAAGACCCTGTCTATCAAAAAAAAGCGTTAAAAATATTAGCCAGGCATAATGGCCCATGCCTGTAGTCTAAGATACTCATGAACTTGGGGTGGTAGGATTGCTTGAGCCCAGGAGTTTGAGGCTGCAGTGAGCTATGATTGCACCACTGTAGTCCAGCCTAGGCAACAGAGTGAGACTATGTCTCAAAAAAAAAAAAAAAAAAAAAAAAAAAAAAAAAAAAAAAAAAGAAAGAAAGAAAGAAAGAAAAAGAGAGAGAGAGAGAAAAGAAAACGTGGGATGTTGTAGCTATGATGAGTCTACTTCTTTACAAATATCAGACTATCATGGATAGCTGAGAAGAAAAGAATCTTGTATCTAACAGTAAATAAGTATATTGGGCGCAGTGACGCACACCTGTAGTCCCAGCTACTCAGGAGTCTGAAGTGGAAGGGTGGCATGAGCCCAGGAATTAGAGGCAGCAGTGAGCTATGGTTACCCCTGTGAATAGCCACTGCACTCCAGCCTTGGCAACATAGTGAGACCCCATCTCTAAAAAAATTTAAAAACAACAACAAAAAAGAATGGATATCTTTTCTGAGCTAACATGGTCTATTAGAATCTGTCCTGTGTGTTTCATACTTGTAGGACTGGAATTGCTCACGAAAGAAAGTTTCTTCTGCAAAAAGGTGCAACACTTATTTACGATTATTGAGGTGATGGTGGGTGGTGGTAAAAAGAAGCTGGAACATATACAAGATGTTCTATAGAAATGATTCTAACCTTGAGCCAGGACTTGAGAAACAGCTCATACTGAGAAACTGGCATGTCTGGGGATATGCCAGTAGTACAGTGAAACACAATGCAGCAGCAGCTTTTTTTCTTCTTCTTTTTATTATTATTATTATTATTATACTTTAAGTTCTAGGGTACATGTGCATAACGTGCAGGTTTGTTACATATGTATACTTGTGCCATGTTGCTGTGCTGCACCCATCAACTCGTCAGCACCCATCAACTCGTCATTTACATCAGGTATAACTCCCAATGCAATCCCTCCCCCCTCCCCCCTCCCCATGATAGGCCCCAGTGTGTGATGTTCCCCTTCCCGAGTCCAAGTGATCTCATTGTTCAGTTCCCACCTATGAGTGAGAACATGCGGTGTTTGGTTTTCTGTTCTTGTGATAGTTTGCTAAGAATGATGGTTTCCAGCTGCATCCATGTCCCTACAAAGGACACAAACTCATCCTTTTTTATGGCTGCATAGTATTCCATGGTGTATATGTGCCACATTTTCTTAATCCAGTCTGTCACTGCTGGACATTTGGGTTGATTCCAAGTCTTTGCTATTGTGAATAGTGCCGCAATAAACATACGTGTGCATGTGTCTTTATAGCAGCATGATTTATAATCCTTTGGGTATATACCCAGTAATGGGATTGCTGGGTCATATGGTACATCTAGTTCTAGATCCTTGAGGAATCGCCATACTGTTTTCCATAATGGTTGAACTAGTTTACAATCCCACCAACAGTGTAAAAGTGTTCCTATTTCTCCACATCCTCTCCAGCACCTGTTGTTTCCTGACTTTTGAATGATTGCCGTTCTAACTGGTGTGAGATGGTATCTCATTGTGGTTTTGATTTGCATTTCTCTGATGGCCAGTGATGATGTTAAATAGTCTTTCAAAGACACAATATTTGTCTAGCGAATAAAACATATGGTTTAAGGCCCATACCAACTATGCAACTAAAGCAATAAAGTCAATTTTGAATTAATTAATGATATTTACTTTTAAGTTGCTCTGATTTTGTCTCCAAGTCTTCTTCCCTGGTAGAGAAATATGAAAGAAGAATTTCAAACCAGAATTAAAGTCAGCACTTTTAATAAAAATACGTATATATTTATTAAATAATTTGAGTTAATATTCCAATATGTTTATATTAATATTTTAAAATCACACTATAGAAGATAATGTTTGGTTGGACTTACTCACATGACTTCATCTTCTTATTGAGCATGGTTTTGCTACGTATTCACCCATTCTCTCATTCATCAAACATTCACTTACTTGCCAAGCATTGAAGTAGGTGTTAGTGCTCACAGTTATTTGCAGATTTAATATTCATGCTGACACAAAAACATTTAATGAAATTGTAGCTTATTGATTAACTCAATCAAAAAGAATTTTGAAAAAATCTAAGTTTAATCTACTAATTAGAGCACCTACACTTATTTGGCACTTTCTACATATTGAGCACTGTTCTAAGAGCTATGCATGTATCTTCTTTTTAAATACTCAAAATCATCCTAAGAGGTAGGTAACAACTTCTATCCCTATCTTCTAGATAAGGAACTAAGGTTAATATCTTGTCCAAGAAGCAGAGGTGGTATTCAAATTCATATAATCTACTCTCAGAATGTTTCTAACCACCATATAAACATGTCCAAAGCATGATAAAATGTTAAACATGCCATCAAAATTCAAAGCTTTCATCTTTATTTTTTTAATGTTTAGTTTCAAAAGGGTGAGCCACTGTATTATTAAGCAAGGAATCCAGATGTTCCTACAAAGCCAAAGGCATGGTCCAACCAAAGATTAGATTGTTTAGATCCTAATTCTCAGGGTTGCTGAAAAGGCTGTTACTCATACAGGCTGCCTGAGACTCCTCTCTCCACGAAAGGAACAAACCTTTTGTCCTTCCCTCCTCAGCAGGAGTCAGTGACAAGCACACTCAGGAAAACGAAGGCCTGCTATGTTCTCTAGACGCCATACTTCACTTTCACTTACTAAAATATATTTTCTATCTAAACTTCAAGTTTATATAATCGTTTATATAAATATGTATTAAACTTAGTGGGAATTATACAAAATTAATTTCTCAATGAATACTAATATGCTCCACTTTAAAGAAACCTGTTCTACAGAGATTCAAACTTATTTCTAAAGGTAACTTAAGAGGCAATTATTAGTTTTGCCAATTAATTCTTTGCAACTACATTAAGAGATACAAAATAAATATATGCACAACTTAGGAGAAACGCATCTTATTCTTCAAAGCAAGGTAGATGTATTCATGTATTCATTTTTTAACAATGTAAATATATATAAAATGATTGAGCACCTACACCACATGCTAAGCTCTGTGTTTGGCTGTGTTTGGGGATACAAAGACAAATTGCACACGGTTTCTGCCTTTATAGAGCTTAGTTTAGCAAGAGAGACAGAAAACAGACAATTCCACTAAAGCCAAGAAGAAATTTGGGAGTACTTGTTATCACACAGCATGAACACCTAAGCAAACAGGGGTGCAGGGAAGGAGAAGATGTGGGGAGGAAAAGCTTACCTGAAGGAAGTGGCTTAGAAATAGGAAATCTGATGGAGGAGTAGAAGCTAACGTGTGAGAAAGGAAGAGGAAAGGAAATAGTGTTCCAGAGAGAGAACAGTGTGTCTAATGTCCACAAAGACACCTAGGAAAGGGAAGAAAAAGTGGGCAGGGTAAGTGGAAGAGACGGAAAGACTGTCACAGTTGCCAAGGCCAGCGTGATGTTAGCTTGGATTAGGAAAGTGGCAGTAAGGATAGCAGTGAGGATGAAAAAAAAAAGTGAATTCATTCGAGAGAGATACTTAGTAGGCACAAATCCACAGGATATAGAATTTTTGACCATTAGAGGTAAGGTATAAGTGAGGAGGAACCAAGGTCCCAGGCTTGGGCAATTGGGGAAATCACAATGCCATTCACCAAGATGAAGAGTAGAAAGATTGCAGGAGAGAAGAGTTAATCTGAGGTATGTTGAGTTTGAGTTGCCTATGGGAAATTCAAAAAGGCAAATTATAAACAGAGGTCCAAAGCTTAGAAGAAAGATCTAGGCTAAAGATACAGATTTAGGAGCTCAAGCCACATTTTACATTTTATTCCTTGCTGTCAATGTCTCCCATTCTCAATAACTACACTCTATATTCAATGTTAATTCTACAAATATTTATTACATCTTGCTAAGTGCCAGGCCCTGTGCTAGATGCAGAATTATATTTGATGCAAAAAAATAAAATAAATAAAATAAAAGCAAAGAACAAAAAAACAGTTTGACTCATTTTTATGAGAAATTAATACCTATGTTTTGAGTTGACCAAATTTTATATATTTGGCTTAGCGATTAAAAGTCTTAAGAAATTGTTTGGAATGGATTGTTACAATCCCTATTACTCACAGAGCAATTAGGTAAAACGAACAAGGTTTGTAGCATAAATAATGTTTTGATTTAGTTTACAAAGCATGATGCATAATAGATAAAATCATTTATCCATCCATGTCACTTATTTATTAAGCTGCATTCAACCTCATAAATACATTAGGCAGTCTCAAACTGAAGCAAATCCAAGCTACTCCTAACAAAAAGTTGGATCATGAAGCACCTTAAACAAAAGAAGGCCTGATTCATTTTAGCATTGCCAATTGCTTTTCTTTATTCTTTTTTGGGGGTCACTTTATGAAAGACATTGAGTTTAGAAGCATAATCTACATTTCATATAGTCATTTTCCAAGGTAAGCACAATACGAAGAGAATAATGGATGGTTATTAAGAAAAACAGGAAAAAGTTACTTGCAGGTAGAATGCAAGAATGAACGGCTGCTGTTTTTAGATGCCAAACTGGTTTTTCACAAGTACACAAACTCAGAAAAATGTATTGACAAAAGTAATATAATAAAGATGGGTACCTTTTGAAAAAAGTTTACATGCTTGAAAGAAAGAGTATCCAACTCCCACTGCAGAAGGAAATTGTAACGCCATTAAATAAGAATATCAGAAACAAAATGAAACAATACAAAACAAAATGTGCTAATGAGTGACTAATAACTTGCATGGATCTGTAACAGTCTCCTCAAAACTCCGTTCCTCAACTCAAGGTGTACCACTTTAAGAACCTCTACGAGAAGTTGAGATTTTAGAGGACAATTAAGCAAGCAGCTTTAACCAGAGGAAAGGACTAGTCCAGTTTATCAAGTATTTTTTTATAGTCCTCAATTTTTTTTACCCTATCTTTACAATAACCTGTTGGAGTCAGTAGGTATTATCGTCCTTATTGTCCAGGTAAGGAAACTGAGGCTAAAGAGGCTAAGTGAACTGTTCAAGGACACACAGCCAGTACATGGAGCCAGAAATCTAACCGAGGTCTGTCTTCTGCTCAAGAATATCAACCTATTTCATTTTTATTCTCATTGCTATTGGGTTTTATCCCCTTATTGCTTTTTATGTTGTTATCTTTACTCTTTTTCCAGTAGTTGTAATATTCCCTGTATCTTTGATATATCTTTGATATTGTATTTAAGACATTGCTTATAGTTTTATTTGTAAATATATTTATATATTTCATAAGTATTAAACATGGAACTTTCATAATCTTAGCCTAGTTACCTGCTTTCATCACCTTTTGAAAATCTGACCCATGCTAGATATAAGCTATTATTTTTATGCTCATTATCCTTGGCTCAAGCCTTCTCTGAATTCCAAAGCAGTTCTCCTACACTAATGAAGCTTCTGATTCTATTTAGATCAGATAGACTGAATTTACTCCCATCTTCGCCCATTCCGCTTACCTAGGGCCCTAAAGACCAAATTACTCTCCTCTAAGAAGACCCGAAGGCAGCTCAAGGGAATCCCTGAGCCATCCATACCCAGAGCAGTTCAACACATTATAAGGATAATTATTATTCCCATAGAACTTAGAAAGAAAATAGATCTTACATGGATAAAGCTAGGAGATTAAAACTAGAAAATGAACTCTGTAACAGTAAATTACCAACAAAATTATTCTATTTAACAGCATTTATTTAGAAAAGGCAATCCATTTTATTATCTAAGCCATTCACTTACTGGTAGCTTATAAGAACCAAGTCATATTTCACCACTATGCAATATATCCATGTAATAAAACTGTATGTACTTGTACCCCCAAATTTATACAAATAAAAAAGGACCAAATCATTGCTTATCTAGAGTAGCAGTAAATATGTGTGTGTGTGTGTGCGCACACACACATGTGTGTACTAGCTTCATATACTTTCCTTCACCTGCTGAAAAAAAATGCAAGTTTGATGCTGGTAAAATTTTCATACAGATTTGCAAGGCAGTAGTACTCAGTACTGAGATGTTCACAATTCCTTGTACTGTACTATATTACTACTATGTTTTACTACATACAATAACCTCAATCTGACTCTTGCTTTGCACAATATAAATATGACCAAAGATGCTAAAGTGAAATTTTCATCTATCCGCACTGAAGAATAAACTCAGTATTTACATCAAGAGTAACAATATAAACAATAGCAAGAGAAAAAGAGACAGAGAAAGTAAGACATTTTACCTTGTTTAGATGAAAAAAATGGTGTTCTAGATGTGACCAAATTTTCAGGTGTGGGTACCACAAATTGGATTGGCCTCACATGCTTATGTACCAGGTTCCTGAAACCAGCCTGCTGGTTCTCAAATATGCTTCGAATGTTTTCAAGCTTGAGTTGTATAGTCTTCATTTGAACCTGTAGGTTGCGTAAGAATTACAGGAAATATTTTCTGAAATGAGGTCGATACAAACCCCATTACATTTCTCAGACTCCGATGGTCAAAAAATAATTTGGAGTTTAAAAGATAACAACAAGAAATTTAGAAAAATAGCAAAACAGATTAATGTTTTATGTTCACATGGATATAAAACCAAAATCTCAACCAAAACAACCTGGAGGAAAAATTTACCAAGAAGCAGTCATGAAATTGGTCACTGCATAGAGCGATTTGCCCTTCATTGGTTCATTGGCTGAATCAGATAATGGCTGGGAAAGAAGGCATATTGCTCTTTCCTGTTTAGTATAAGAAAGCCACCAAGTTATAAAAACAATCAAATGAATAACATTGGTATAATATTTTGTTACATTTTACCCTGTAGGACACTCTTGTTATAGTCCTCTAAGTTGCAACAGGCTCCTCAGAGCCACCAATGGATAATGCACATTTGTACCTCTTCTAGATGCTTTGAGGAAGCTAGAGTTAAGCTTGGTTGCTTCCAGAGAATCACTTGGCTATTGCCATGACTACATTTCCGATTTCTTGGGGCATCCCCTAGGATATTCTGCTAAGCATGGGTCTAGATACTGCTCCAACCTTAGAGTCAACTACACATTTTAGCAGCAAATAGCATCACAAATGCTCTTATCTACAATGTGGATAATCCTTCGTGTGATTTCCAAGGGGGCAGTACTGAACTAACCTATAGCTCTCCACCCTGTTAACAACAACTTCTGCCTGCTCCTCCTTCTCCAAGAAGACCCGAATCCTATCTTTATGCTTTCATTCTCAAACTGAGTAGCAAGGCCACATCATCCACAGAGCATCTGCTGATGGTCACTGCAGCACAAAGGAAGGATGTTTGGGGTAAAGTACTCTTGACATTCTTGACATGGACCCAACATTCTATTATAGAAGAGCTTTGGGGCTTTCTCCAGTGATGCACAACGAAATATGTGTGAGAACACCTAGCACATAAAAAGAGTTTTAAAATAATGGATTTGGAGCTCAAAAAGGAAATTATTATTCCTCATTAAGTAGCAAACATATGCCATTGAATTATTTGATGCTTGACAGTGGCACTACTATCACCCCTAAGAAGACAATGTAAGTGCAGTTTGACATAAAGTTAGCTGTGAGGTAGTAAAACTCCTCCTACCCACAGTACTGCAATTATAACTTTCTTTAAATGTTTATTTGAAAATTTTAAAAGCCTCTACCTTAAGCTCAGGAGATAATATTACATCAAATTCATACTGTAGTGTTTCAGGTTCATAATTTATAAAGGGTAGAGCCATTTCAAGAAAATTTTCAATGTCTTGGAGGGCTTTCTGAGCATCTTCTTTAGACTGAAACTTATCTATTTCCTGATTAGCTAGAAGACATTCCCCTTCATCACAGCACTGACGAGCCTGGTAAGAAAATCAAGAAGAAAAAAACGTGAATTAATAAAGGTAAAACATATTTGTCCATTAAGTGAGTGGTTCTCAGCCTCTGGCTTCTGTGAGTCAGATTGCTTTCAGAGCTGTTAAAAAAATAAAGATATCTGGGTTCTGCCCCCAGAAATTCTGATTCAGTAGCCCGGGCCATAAGTTGGGCATCTATACTTTTACAGAGCTCCACAGATATTGCTGATACACAGCCAAGGTTGGGAAACACTGCATTTATTTCACAACAACTAATTTATTCTGCAGCAGAAGTCTAACCACTTTCTCAATACTAATGCTTTAGTTGCATGTTATTTTCCCAAAATCAATAACTGAAATATGAAATTCTTAGGAAAATATAAAGTGTAATACAAATGCTTAATGACAGCTAAGGACAAGAATAAAGTTTTCTTCCCAAAGAATGAGATGTAAAGATTAAAAGGTTTATGTTCAGATATAATGTCTGGAAGTGGAACCCTATTTTATATTCCACTGCCAACACCAGATCCATATGGTGACCTGTCAATTCATTACCTAATTGTGAAAAGGGTCAAACCCACAAGCCATGGAGGAATATTTTCCAGTCACTGTTTAATATTTTATTTCTGTATTATGAAATGTGAAAGGAGCTTCAGGCTGTAGCAAAATGCCCCTCAGGCTTTTAAAAATGTTCCAAGTATAAACCATCACCAGTGGAGACTTCAGAGATGTACCCAAAATACAAAGGAAGCCATTACTCCACAATCTCAAATATTTAGAACAAAGGGCAAAATTTGAACTATATTGGATCTTCCATGAATAGTTCATTGGTAGATGAATGAAAAAATCATGATCAAACTCAGTCCTTCAGATTTCTTACAAATTTAATTCCAAAGCTATACCAGTCCCTGACCATATAACCTCTGAGAAGATAAAAGGTATTCCACGCGGCAGAAGGGCAAGGTGTTTCAGGCTAGCAGGACCTGAAAAAAAAAAGTGTGTTCCTTTTCAGAAATGGATCATTTCCCATTATACTACCTGCTGTAGGAGTTTATGCATTTTGAAGGTCCTGCTGAGTTGTATCCGTTTCGCTTTTATCTCATTAACCAAAATATCAGAAAGATAACGTAGCTCATTGCACCTCTGGCAGATTAAATCAAGTGCATAATGGTGATTTGCTGCAAGCTTGTGTCCATGTAATATCACAAACTGGGCCTTTGATAATAGCTCCTGATTGTAACAAAGAAACAAAATAATGAATACATGATCTCTGAGCAAGAAGGATACATTGCCACAAATACAATTTGATGTCTACTCCTTCAGGCTGCAAAAAACAAACAAACAAACAAAAAACCTTACAGTTATAATAATTAGCTGTAGCAGTGATGTCATTAGAAGCTCATGCATTTCTGGTTATAGAAACTGAAAATTTCACATCATACCCAGAACGTGGATGAGATTTTTTTCTCCTAATATGTGTGGATTTAGAATAGAACCACCTATATTAAATGAGGTATACACACCAGTCAAATGTATTTCATATCATCTCAGCCTTAGAAATCTCATCAGCGTTGTCATGTACCTGGACTAATTCACATACCTGAAGTCACAGGGTTTCTATGTCAAAAAAATGACCTTTAGTGACCTTGCCTCCACTCTGTCAACTACTCACTCCCCCCAGTGGAGAGACTCGAACATAGTAGGAGTTCAAGAAATGTTTGTCAAAATAAAATAAATAAAACTGAAACCCAGGATGAGGAAGTGACTGGCCTCTCTACCTAGTGAGAAAACCAGGTTTAAAATGGAGAGCTGTTGTCTAATGGGTATACAGTTTCAATATTATAAGATGAAAAAGTTCTGGAGCTGTTGCACAGCAATGCGAATTTATGTATCACTACTGAACTGAATACTTAAAAATGATTAAGATGGTAAATTTCATGTTATGTGTTTTTACCACAATTAGAAATGAAAAATTATTACATGGAAAAAAATGAAGTCCCCCTTAGTTTCCAAACCAGTTTGCCTCCTCTTTCTGCTATACCATAGGGATATGTAAATTGTCCCATGATCACAGAGATCTACAAGCATAATTCTAGAACTAGTTATCATAACTGTTGCTTCTTCAATATTTGTTTTCACACACTCATGGTTCACCCATAAATCTGTTTGTATGCTGAGAATTCATCTTAAAAAGCATGGCCTTGCTCTCACATAAAAAGCATGGCCTTGCTCTCACATAAAAGCTAGAGTTTTTTAAGTATCAAAGCCATTAGTCCAAACTTTAAGACTAGCAGGAATCATGAAAACTGCCTCCTTTGAGTACGTACTATACAACCCAGTGTTGTGCCAGGTGTTTTATATACATTTAAATGAATATTCACAATTGCCCTGCAAAGTAGATCATTTTATCCCCAGTTTATAGGTGAAGACACTGAAAATTAGAAATGAATTTACTCAAGGTCACAGATAGTAAGAATAAGTAGAAATGTCTGTGTGAGTCTCTATTTGGTTAAACTGCATATATCCTAAAGTGGGCATTTAAGGAATCATGTTCCTGTATGTTTCCATCATTTCCAAGCACCATATATCATTCTTGATACACATTCTTCTAGCTTCTCCAAAATAATTTATGCCCTTATTCCTATTGGTGAGCTTGAAACAGTTCACGCCATTGTCTCAGCGACCTCCTTTTACAACTACATGATATATCTGTAGTGTCACCTCTGGCCTGCATTGAACAAAGCAGAATATAGACCAACATAATTGTGCCTAATATACAGAATGTTGTTATGATGGGAGGAGGGTGAGGGATAAAAGACTACAAATAGGGTGCAGTGTATACTGCTCGGGTGATGAGTGCACCAAAATCTCACAAATCACCACTAAAGAACTTACTCATGTAACCAAATACCACCTATACTCCAGTAACCTATGGAAAAATAAAAATAAAGAAATTAATAATAAGAGTCTATACTACCTACTTCCACCAAAAAATAACTATTTTACTGTATAATATAGCAAACACCTAAAACACAATCTTACCTGAGAATTTTCATCTAAGTTTTCCAATTTTTTTATTTTTTGTTTTACTTGAGCTATAGTCCCTGTTACATCAGCCAGTTCTGCTTGTTGGTTTAATAGAAATTCAACTTCAGTCACAAGCTAAAAATAGGAAACAAAGAGCTTTTAAAAACATAAAAATTATCTTTATGATCAAGTTTTATACAAAATGCTTTTAAACAAAAATATTGACATGGAGAAATTGCACATATAAAAAAAATTTGTTATTTTATTCACAGAAATAGCTATACTCTGCTAAAATTTAACCTCACAGATATCAACGTGTACTCATAATGTACAAAAGATCACCATGTACATGTGTAGGTTTGTGTATGAGGACATGTATTTGCATAAATGTATACATGTGAGGTATGTATAGGTATATATACATTTGTGTGAGTGTGTGTGTATATATATACACACATATATATATATAGCCAACATCTAAAACAAAATCTTACCTGAGAATTTTCATCTAAGTTTTTTTTTCATCATTCCCCAGCTCTCTGGTGAATTACGCTAAAAGCAAAAGCCCTCCAGAAGCAATAAGCACATCTCCCACCCAGATCTTGGTCTTTAATATCATTTCCCAGAAAAAGAAACCAGGGCTCCTCAAGGAAATAACTGATTCCAGGGTTAAGGCAGAATAGGTACAAGATGAACTTGGAATATATCTTTATGCCAGAAAGTAAGAGAGTGATTTATTTAAATGTGGGAGCACGTCACGAGGACACAGCAGCACTCTGAAACACCAAAATAGTCAAGAACACTAATAAATTATAAACCATCAAAAAACTAGGAATCAGAAAAGACGCCAAATCATCTTTCTTTGCTGATGATATGATTCTATACCTAGAAAACACTAAAGACTACCAAAAGGCTCCTAGAATTGATAAACAACTTCAGGGAAGTTTTACGATACAAAATCAATGTACAAAAATCAGTAGCATTTCTATACACCAACAATATTCAAGCTGAAAGCCGAATCAAGAATGCAATTTCATTTACAATGACCTACAAAAAGAATAAAATACCTAGTAATACATGTAGCCCAAGGAAGAGAAAAATCTCTATGAGGAGACCTACAAAACACTGCTGAAAGAAATCATAGATGACACAAACAAATGGAAAAAACATTCTATGCTCATAGATTTGAAGAATCACTATATTCAAATGGCCATACTGTCCAAAACAATCTGCCGATTCAATGCTATTCCTATCAAACTACCAACATCTTTTTTCACAGAATTAGAAAAACTATTCTAAAATTCATATGGAACCACAAAAGAGCTCAAATAGCCAGAGCAATCCTAAGCAAAAAGAACAAAGCCAGAAATAACGTATTACCCGACATCAAACTATATCAAAACAACATAGTCCTGGTACAAAAACAGACACTTAGACCAATGGAACAGAATAGAGAACCCAGAAATAAAGCCACGCACCTATGACCATCTGATCTTTTACAAAATCAACCAAAATAATCAAGGGGAAAGGACTTCCTATTCAACAAATGGTGCTGAGATAGCTGGTTAATCATATAAAGAAGAGTGAAACTGGACCCCTACCTTTCACCATATATAACAATTAACAAAGGATGGATTAAAGATCTAAATATAAGACCTCAATCTACAAGAATCTTGGGAGAAAAGTTAGGAAACACCATTCTGGACATTGGCCTTGGGAAAGAATTTATGACTAAAATCTCAAAAGCAATTTCAACAAATACAAAAATTGATACGTGGAACCTAACTAAACTAAAGAGCTTCTGCATAACAAAAGAAGCTATCAACAGAGTAAACAGACAGCCTACAGAAGGGGAGCAAATATTCCCGAACTATGCATCTGACAAAAATCTAATATCCAGAATCTGTAAGGAACTTAAACAATTCAACAAGCAAAAAACTAATAACTCCATTAAAAAGTGAGCAGAGGACATGAACAGATACTTCTCAAAAGGAGACATACAAATTGCCAACAAACATGAGAAAATGCTCAATATCACTAACCATCAGAGAAATGCAAATCAAATGAGATACCATCTCGCATCAGTCAGAATGGCTATTATTAAAGAGACAAAAAGGAACAGACACTGGTGAGGCTGTGGAGAGAAGGGAACACTGATACACTGTTGGTGGGAAAGTAAATTAGTTCAGCCACTGTGGAAGGCATCCTGAATATTTAAGAACTTAAGGCAGAACTACCATTTGACTGAGCAATCCCATTACTGAGTATATACCCAATGGAAAATAAATCATTCTATCAAAAAGACAATACAATTGTATGTTCATTGCAGCACTATTCACAATAGCAAAGGCTTGGAATCAACCCAGGTGCCCATCAATGATGGACTGGATAAAGAAAATGTGGTACAAATACATCATAGAATACTATGCAGCCATAAAAAAAAACAAAATCATGTCTTTTGCAGCAACATGATGCAGTTGGAGGCCATTATCCTAAGCAAACTAACACAGAAACTGAAAACCAAACACAGCGTGTTATCACTTGTAAGTGGAAGTTAAGCACTGGTTACACATAGACATAAAGATAGGAACAATAAATGCTGGAGACTACTAAAAGGGGGGAAAGGAGGAAGGCAAGGGCTTAAAAACTAACTATTGGATATTACGCTCACTACCTGAGTCATGGTATCATTCACATCTCAAATCTCAGCATTACACAGTATACTCATGTAACAAACGTACACGTGTATGCCTTGAATCTAAAATAAAAGTTGAAAGTTTTAAAAATGAATAAGTAAAACTCTTTGAATCAAATAAATAAATGGAGAGAAGGGAAGGCTCTTGCTTTGGTAGAATGCCTAGTGTGGACTGATAAATGTGGACTGGACATGGGGGTTGAAAATAATCATTATTTTGCAACCATCATAGCAAAGATTTGTCCAGGCAAGCATCATCAGTTGATGCTAAATTTATGGGGAAATTTTGATGACAAGCAGGATATTTGCGTAACCTTAAATTTTCTCCCCACACTTTTCCTACTAGTTAGAAGGGGAGTAAAAGTAGCTTTACAGTGGAGAAATTCAACAACACCCTGAATAGGTAATCAGAATCCACATCAACAATAAGAGGGAGGTAGGCATCATTCACTTGCAGATATGATTCCTTAAGAAGAACACTTCACTAATGTGGTATTCTGGTTGGTCATATATACTAAATAGAATCGTGAGAAGATGTCCAACAAACTCCAAATGAAGGAAAATGTATTTAAAAAGGGACTATGGCTAGGCATGAGTCCTTATAGCTCATGCCTGGAATCTCAGCACTTTGGGAGGCTGAGGCGGGAGGATTGTTTGAGCCTAGGAGTTGCAGACCAGCCTGGGCAACACAATGAGACCCCATCCCCACAAAACTTAAAAAGTTAGCCAGGCATGGTGGTGCATACCTGTAGTCTCAGCTACTTGGAAGACTGAGGGGGGAAGATGGCTTAAGCCTAGGAGTTTGAGGCTGCAGTAGCTATGATTGTGTCATTGTACTCCAGCCTGAGAGACAGAACTGTCTCAAAAAAAAAGGACTATATTTTTCAAAATGTCAGAGTCATAGAAGACAAAGAAAGGCTGTGGAAAGATTCAAGATTCTAGGTTTAAGGACACTAAAGACACAAGACAATGCAAGACTGGACCCTATATAGGATCCGATTCTGAAGGAAAAATAAATGCTATAAAAGAGTTGACTGAGTCAACTGACAAAACTGAAATACCAATGGTAGATAATATAAAAGTATTGCATTGTTAAACGTACTGAATCTGATAACTGTACTACGGTCAAATAAGAGAACATCCCTATTACCAGAGAAAATGGAAGTATTTAGGGGGAAAGGGCCATCATGTGTGCAACTTACACTCAAATGGTTCAGAAAATATATTATTTGTCAGATCAGAAAAAAATATTATCTGTATATACATGAGGGAGGGAATACAAATAATAAAGCAAATGGAGTAAAATACTATCATTAAGTTAATCTGGGAATAAGGTATATGGGTATTTCTATTTTTCTTATATTTGCAATTTTTCTGTAAGTTTATGTTCCTATGTGTTTTTTTTAAGTCATGTTTCTAGACATACAGAACCTGTCGACATGTCACTATGAGATACACCAGTGAGATTATACTCTAAGACAAACAACAATATTGATTAAAGACAGGAATTAATGACTTGGGGAGACAGAACATAACCACAGGACAAGAATTTGGTATGGATGCAAATTAATATGTAAGTATAAGCATAATGGGTATGCTCAGGAAAAGTGCTATTTTCTGTGTATTCAGTTGGAGAGGAGGAAGAAACACAAATACCTAGAAGGACCAAGAGCAGCTTGACCTATTCTTTCTTTAGGGAAGGTTTCATGGAGAACAGTTCAATCGATGTTTGAAGCAAAGGAGGGGAAAACGCCAGTGGTAACTGAGCCCTGTGTCCAGAGTGCAGTGCTCCTCCCAAACCTAACTCTGATGAGCAAGTGAAATACAAAGCAAGTAAGCCATTCATGGGCAGAAAACAAGTTGGGCACATGCAAGAGAGAAGAAGTGAGTTTTCCTTGGATCCTCTGGTGAAGTATATGCTATGAGACAGACTGTGAGATTGAGCATGACCGAAAAAGGAAAAGAAACTAAATCTATGCATCTTTTTTTTTTTTTTTTTGAGACGGAGTCTTGCTCTGTCGCCCAGGCTGGAGTGCAGTGGCCGGATCTCAGCTCACTGCAAGCTCAGCCTTCCGGGTTTAGGCCATTCTCCTGCCTCAGCCTCCCGAGTAGCTGGGACTACAGGCGCCCGCCACCTCGCCCGGCTAGTTTTTTTGTATTTTTTAGTAGAGACGGGGTTTCACCGTGTTAGCCAGGATGGTCTCGATTTCCTGACCTCGTGATCTGCCCGTCTCGGCCTCCCAAAGTGCTGGGATTACAGGCCTGAGCCACCAGCCCGGCCCAAATCTATGCATCTTGACCATATATGATGGATTTTCCAGGAGGGTCCAATTGGAATATATTTTTAATTATTTATTAAACTTATTTAATTTCATCTCTCAGGCTTTTCATAGGAATAAACTCCTGGATCAGAAAGAAAAGCTTGTTAGGTCATGTTAAATATGGTCAGCATAGGTACATGGGATTTAAAAACCAAGAAGGAAGCTGGCATTATTCCTTTGGAAAGCCACCTCATAACCTTGAACACCCTTTAGATCTAAGATAAATTTGAAAAACAAACCTAAAAGTAGAGAGTAACTTTGTCCCTGTCATATATATTGGCAGTTTGATACTTTCTCAAAGGAAATGAGTAAGCTGAAAAAGTAGAAGTCTCAGAATTTTAGTAGAGATTTTCTTCAGTCTAAGCCAAGGTTCATTTACATTTGCCTCCTTTTTTTTTCTTTTAGGTATAAATGGGCATCTTGCAAGACAGGATTTCTCATGATTAAGGAGTAAAAACCTCTGGTGTAATGAAAAAAGGTGTACAAAGAAATGTTTTAACTGACCTGTTGGAAATCCTGCTCAAACTTCCATAGTTGCAGATACTGCTCCATTTTTAATTGATGTTTTTCCCAAAATCCATCAAAAGCTGTTTCCATATCATGTACTTGAGTCAGCAACCTTAACAAAGAAAACTCAAATAAATTCCTAAATGCAACTATCTGTTTTGTAAATACGTAGATAGGCGCAGTATGGACATTAAGAATTATAGGCAAAGTCATAGCCCATGACACTTGGTTCTACCTGTAGAGACAACCAATGTCCACAGAATCTCTTCTACAAGCAAAATCATCTCTGTAGGACAACCTAGAAATAAGTTATCAGATTTCCAGAGGTCCAGGAATATTTTAACACTTAACATATTGCAGCAAAAATGTATAATTGCCTTTCAAAAATACAAAATAAGTAACTCTAAACCAAAAAGAGAGTACTCACTTATTAATAGTTTGCCAGTCACCACTTATTTGCTGATGACATTCTAGTCTTGAACTGACAGCTCCTTCAGTGTCAGGCACTTCCAGATTTGTTAGCAGAATTTTTCCTTCTTTGGTTACAGCTGTAATATCATTCTGTCCAAAGACACAAAAGGAGTACCAGCTAATTAGTAATCTAACCTGAATGATGTGATGGGAAGGAAGCATACAACTATGGCATGAAGACTAGAAACAGTTAATTCTAGAATGGCCTTTGCTTTCATAGTTCTCTGAAAATTCACAAAATTTCAAAATCTCAGTGCCACAAAATCTAAAAGCTATGAAGATCCAAGAACCCCTTGCCTTAGAGATGGATGTTGCAATTAATGTTTTTATAAGATCATCATGGGCAGAAGTACCATGTGCTCTATTTGTAGCCTCCTTCTCTAAGTGGTAGAAAGTTCCAATCCAGTCCATCCTATTCTGCTAATATTTTATTTATTTTTATTTACTTTTTTAGAGATGGGGTCTTGCTATGTTGCCCAGGCTGGACCCAAACTCCTGGACTCAAGCAATTCTCCTGCCTCAGGTTCCCGTGTAGGTGGGGCAACAGATATGTACCACTGCACCTGTCACTGTTCTGCTAACACTTTCAATGAGCTCAAATAAAGCAGTAGTAGAACAATAAAAACCACCACAGTAGAAAGCATACAATTGCAAATAATACTTAATACATACTCAGATACAGTTAAATGTCTTTGCTACTAATCTTTAATTGTAACCAATCACTCCCTGCCTTAAGTCTTATTTTACTTCACATTTAGGTTTAATTAATTCATCAATAAGTATATGCCTCTATTTAGAAGGGCTTAACCTCAGTGGGTGGTGTAACAATATAGACCTTTCTCAGACATCCAAGAGTGATTTAAGATTTCTTTCAGGTGGTGCAAGAGTCCCTTGAAATTGTAAGCAAAAGTTTTGGTGTACATTTATTCTGAGAACAGATTCCATGACACCATCACCAATATGGGTAATAACATCAACATTAAAAGTCAATATTTATGAAGTACCAACTATGTACCGAACATTGTTATACATACATCACTTTCTTTGCCTCATTTCATCTTCACAACAATCCTACGAGGTATGATGCATCATCACCATCATCAACCTCATTGTAAAGATACAGAAACTGCAACTCAGAAAAGGTAAGCAAATTGCCCAACAACAACATATCTCTATATACAGCTTTAATCTTCTAATGCACACAGCAAAAAATACTTGCTGATTATCTGAATTGCACTTCAAAATCCTTCACAAAGCAGCACTCCACAAAGACCTGGGTAGGAGAGCACAACCAATTTGCAACCCCTGGTCTACTGTAGGAAACATCAAGACCTAGTATTCTGCAGAGAAGAGAACTTAGAATCAATTGAGCAATGTTAGCCTTGGTCACAATGCTAGCTCACAGCAGAGATGGGACAAGAAACTCGGCTTCCTGACTCCTCATCAAAAATTAAAAATAGAGTCATACATCACTTAATGTTGGAGATATGTTCCGAGAAATGCATTGTTAGGTTATTTCATCATTTTGTGAACATCACAGAGTGCATTTACACAGACCTAGATGGATAGCCTAGTAGACACCTAGGCTACAGGGCATAGCCTATTGCTCCTAAGCTACAAACCTGTACAGCATGTTACTGTACTGTATACTGTAGACAGTTGTAGGCATACTGTAGGCAGTTGTAACACAATGGTATACATTTGTGTATCTAAACATAGAAAAGGTACAGTAAAAATATGGTATAATCTTATGGGACTACTGTCATACATGCAGTTCATCACTGATCAAAACAACCTTATGCAGTGCATGACTGCACATAGTAAAACAAAACAAAAGACTATATTTGTTTTTCTGCAGCATTTATAAGATATTTTTAAATAACTTCTCAAATTAATACACCATTTGCGGAGGGGACACTTAGGTCTAACGTATCCAGGACAGTCTTTTATAAAGTATTTTTTTATCGTTTTTAAATATATTATATAAATGTCTTTTATCTCCCTTTATGCAACAGCCAGTGTAAAATGGAGATAATAAACACCTCTCTAGAAAAAGAAAGACCATGGAAATCTTTTGTTTGTCAACTCTATCAGACATACCTTCAATAGATGATACCTTTCTGCACGAATTGCCAGAATTTCTTCTATTGAGGGAATATCATCTGGTAGTTCTGTCTCAGCCAGTTCAGTTCCAAAGGACTGTAACATCTGAGCCATTTCTTTCACTGTGAGGGCAAAATTTTCTATAGCCTGCAAAGAGCCGGTGATTATTTTAATTATATGGTAACTCTGTGAGCATATAAAAAACTAGATCGGTCATTGTATTTGTTTTTATTGGGGCTGTAACAGTAAATACATACACCACGAACTCTCCTCTGCTAGAGAAATATGGCATTGCTCTTGGCAATCAACTGTAACTCTTCATCTAAGACTCTAAGAAACTGAAGGAAGATTAAGAGTCTTCCTGAATATATTTTATCCAAATTTCTTGACTTATTTCTTAGACACTGATGAAAACTATTTCTTAAAGATGCCATGTATTGAGTAATTTGTTTTATTTTCTTGAAAATTACAGTGTTTTCCTTATTCTATAAACTCTCCAATTGGCAAAATTGCCTTATTATCACTTTACTTCTGAAGAGAGATGAGAACAGTAAAGTCACTTTATATTTGTTTATTATCATTTGTGAATAAGCATTAGCATTCCAAACAAGGTGACAATTGAAGGAAATGGGGGAAAAAACTAGTCACAACAACTCATTTCAAGCACTATAGAATATTTGGAATGGTGGTCCCAAAGCCTTTGTTGCCATAAAATGGTAAGTACGGTTTTATTGTTTATTTTGTTTCTAAAATCAGTTACTCTGAGAAAGAAGGGCAAAATGTAGAGACCACAGGACCATCTGTTCAATCCATGCATCTCAAAATATTTGCTTGTTTATTTATAGCATTACAGGTTATTAAAGGCTAGGCACTGCTAATTTTGGCAATACATCTTCATGTGAATGAATGAATTGTTGAATGAATGCATTGTTAAATGAATTAATGAATGAAACGTTGAGTGAAAAACAAGTATGAGGAAAATGGAATCCTAATTTAATGGGACATCATTAATTTCTTCAGCAGGGTTCCCCTATCTCTGGGATTAGAAGTCAAGATACTTATATACCACAGACATACTTGGGAGGTGCAGGGCCCTTGCCTATTTGTAAATTTCTAAAACAGAAGTATACTCTTTGTTACAAATCTAAAATGCCTTAGAAGCATCACTAGGATAATGAGATTAATAATACTACTTGTATTTATTGACAATTTGCCATATGCTAGGCACTGTGTAAAACATTTTACTTTTGCTATCTCATTTAGTGTTTTTAAGATCCCTATGAGGTAAGGTATTATTAGTCCCATTCTACAGTTAGGAAAACTAAGACTCAGAGAGGTTATGTATATTGTCCAAGGTCATATAACTAAAAATCAGCAGGGTCAGGATTTGAATCCAAATCCTTCGTTTCTTCAAGTTACTACATAGCCACAGGAGGGAATGGGCAGAGTATGATCTCTTTATTCCCTAGGATTCTCCTTCCATTGCCATCCTCAGTGACTGCTCATCATTTCTAGATATTTCCTATGGAAGAAAATCAAGATGTTGAATTTATATGTATGTGAAAAGTGAGGACCCCAGAAATCTGTTTTTTTTTTTTTTTTCAAATAGGAAAGAATTCTAGAACTAGATTTAAAGGCTAACATGAAGAACTATAGGCTCTACAGTAAGGGCAAAGACAACATACATTTCTGAAGATGATCCATTCACTGTGGCAGTACTGCAAGGTGCCGCCTAACTCAGGGGTTAATTGCTTGTCATCAATGTATGTCAGCAAATCACTAACTGAGCTCAGCATAACAACCTATATAAATAAGCAAGAAAGATACTGTTAACTGCCCTTCATGCCATCCCTCCATTAAACTGTAAAATGAACTTTAGCATACATTTAGCAGGAAGTCACCTCTGATAAATGGTTTTAACAGTTCTCTCCTGTACATGCCCCCATACATGTATGCACTATCTTCTTCAGATAATAACAGTTTTTATTTACAAAACATTTTCTGTAAAGAAAAATCAATCTCCACAGAAACCAAAATGCCTAATTTTCTTCCATCTAAAAGTTTGCACTGTTAATGGTCCAGCTTCTAAAAGAATGCTATGCTCACAACAAAGAAAAAGACTTTATGTAGTAACTTATAATTTATCAGGAAGGGTTGACCTTTTCAAAAGTATCAAAATTTATGAGCACCCTATTCCTAACCTTAAAAACATACAAAAATATTTTTAAAAAGTCATGGTACTCTGGACTAGCTCAGGATGTAAGTTCATGGAAGTTCAAATACATAAAACATACACTCAATTTTACTAAAAAATAAAATTTCCTGCTGATATACACATACATATACACACATGCACACATACATATATACACACATGTATAACATATATGACATATATTTTTTGCAAAAGTAATTGCTTTGTTATAAATTGATGAATCGATTTCTTTTTTAAATGGTAGAAGTGAAAGACTTTTGGGCATTTCAAATGTATACTTTTAAAAGAGAAACTTTAATTTTTTTCTTTTAAATGCTACATGGGCACATGTAAAATATAAACATCATGGTGCAAGTCTTCATGAGAATTAGAGGAATAAAACATTTAAATAATATATTCTTACTGGTAATTTAAGCATAAAATCCTCCTGACTAAACCGAAATCCAATGTCTGTGAACGTTCGTTGAAGAAAGCTGGTAGGACGTAAAACCAAAACCAAGTGCAAGTTCCCAGGGAAGGAAGCCTGTAGGAAGAAAAAACAAAAGAAATTGAAAAAAAAAAAATTGTCGACACACACTCAACTGAGCACATATCAGAAAATACGTAATTGAAAGAAACGAACTTTAAATTCATAAAAGCCAGTAAAAGGCCAACACTTTACAAAATGATATTGATAAAATCTAAAAACATGCAAATAGAAAGAAAAATAATGTAAGGCTTCAGGTCAGATCCTGGCAACACTTCTGGTAAGGAATTTTCTCACACTATAGAAGCAGACCCCACGTTATGAAGAAATAGACTCTAAACCTTTATTTTAGAGTTCGTTATTTGAAATCAAATTGCACTTATTTCCTATAAGAACAAATAGAATTAGGTGGCAGTTTCCTAGGATAACCCTAAAAGCCAAAGGATTTTTGTCTGTGTATTTACACTAAACAATGAAAGAAAACTTTATTATGGGATTATATTTTTATTTTAATATAATCAATATTCACTGAACATCTTCTATGTGTCTACTTCATGTATTTAAATGAATGATTATCAAGCTCTGTTAGGCATTGAATGTTCACAAATTAAGAAAATACAATTTCTACCCAACAGTTCAACTGCAGAGTCCATTAATAATCAGCAACTCTTTAACACGATAAGTTGGTAAGTAATCAAAGGAATTAGAATAATATACAAGGGGAAATGATAGTACCAACTCTCCAAGACATAGGAAGGTCAAAAAGATCCCGAAGCATAACGAGGAATTAACTAGATCAGAATGTCGTTCTAGTTCACCAATGTTTCCCCAGCTTCTAGAACTTGCTGGCACATAGTATGCAGTCAGAAATAATTGCTACACTAAAGAATTCAAAAGACAAAGAAGGAAGACACATTGCAAAATAAGTGGAGAATGGAGTAACATAGCCCAATTTTAATAATAAATTACCGTGTACTAAATGTTTACTCTGTGCAAAGCATTTTGCCAATATTATCATACATTCTTTTCATAATAATTCTATGAAGGAGTTAGGTTACTCACTTTTACAAATAAAGAAAGTGAGACTCAGAGAGTTTAAGTGTACCTTGCCCCAGCTGGCAAAGCCTTGATTTGCCCCTAAGTCTGTGTTCTTAATCACTAAACTACTCCATCTCCTGAAAAGGCCCTAGTCAAGAGAGCTAGATGAAATGATGCTGGGGGACAATGGGAGATGGTGTTGGGAAAATGGGCCAGAACTGCATCAGAAAGGATGATGGGTTTTTTTCCTGGAAGTAAGGGGAGTCTCTAAGAGGTTTTGAGCATCAGAACAACATGGTCAAATTTGCATTTTAGAAGGATCACTTTGGCTTTGGGAAGAACTGGATTTGAACAAGAGTAGAAGCAGACAGATGAGCTAGGAGGCTGGTACAGTAATCTAAGCCAGGAATGATGAGTTTCTGAACTAAAGTAATGATACTAAGAATAAGGGTAGAATTTAGGAGGTGCAATCAGCAAGACATAACCACTTGATGTACTTGCTGAGAAAGGAGGTACTATGAGGATCAAACTCCAGATTTGGGGCTTGAGTAACTGGTTGAATGGTACAACCTTCACTGAGATGGGGAACACAAGAGAAAGAGGTTTTAAGAAGGGGAACAAGATTCTGATCTCCATTCATATACATGTTAGGTTGGAAGGGTCAGCAGGACATCCAGATGATGTCCTTTGGACAGCTGTTTGTACAAGTAAGAAGGGAAAGAAGTCTAGGCTAGGAGTGCAGAATCAGGAGTCATCAGCCTCAAGACGGCAGATTAGAGCATAATAGAGCAAAATATATGAAAAATGTTCCAACTGCAATTATATTTCAGGCATATTGCAATACTAGTAATTAAACAAAACTATAAACTAAGAATAAGATACTGTGGGGCAAGGAGTTTATGGGAACTCTCTGTACTTCCTGTTCCATTCTGTTGTGAACTTAAAACTGCTGTGAAAAAATAAAGTCTATTTTAAAATAAAAGAAAAAAGTAACTTTCACCAGGGTATAAAACATAGACTCTTTGAGAAATGATGCTCAAAACTGGGAATTTTCCTAATTCAATTTGAGATGGTGATAAAACATAAAATGTTAAGTGGCAATGAGAACTAGAGTAAATGAAAGAGAAATGAGTATGATATGCACACATAAGTAAATTAAAAGAGCATAAAATTAAATCAATAAATTAAATAATGGCTATCAATATACATACATTGGGATGGTTGTCCAACTCATAATTCCCCCAGGAGGCCACGACTGTTACTCTCTCCCTTCATCCGAGAAACTACTCCCCCTTCTATTATTCTACACATTGGTTCCAAATGAGAATTCTTATTTTCCTACATGGCCCTGCCCTTCCAACACACAATGATTAGTGGTGATTAGAAGTATGATTAGGGCCAGACATGGTGATTCATGCCTGCAATCCCAACAATTCAGGAGACCGAGGATGGAGGATCACTTGAGGCCAGGAGTTTCAGAACAGCCTGGACAACATAGTGAGGCCCCATCTACACAAAAAATTTAAAAATTATCTAGTCATGGTGGCATGCACCTACGGTTCCAGTTACTCAGGAGGCTGAGGGGGGAGGATCGCTTGTGTCCAGGAAGTTGAGGCTGCAGTGAGCCATGATGGTGCTACTGCACTCTAGCATGGGTGACAGAGCAAGACCTCATCTCTTTAAAAAAGAGAAAGAAAAAAGATAAGCAGAACATTTGATGTAAGCAGGGCCAAAAAAGTCCTGCCCTAGAATTTTCAAACTAATACTGAGTGAAGGAAACATTGAGGATGCCATTTAAAAGCAGCAGATGGCCAAGAGCCCTGCTGCTGGAGAAACATTGAAAAGAATAAAATTAACATGTATACAGAAACAGAGAGAGAAACAGAGAGTTACAATGGTAATGTATATCCTACCTTCTATTATGTACATAATGTATATTTTATTTTATGTTAGGTATAATACGTATTTTCCAGCTGGGCACGGTGGCTCACACCTGTAATCCCAGCACTTTGGGAGGCTGAGGTGGGAAGATCAATTGAGGCCAGGAGTTCGAGACCAGCCTGGCCAACAGGGTGAAAACCTGTCTCTACTAAAAATACAAAAAATCAGCCGGATATGGTGTTACACGCCTGTGGTCCCCGCTACTAGGGAGGCTGAAGCACGAGAATCACTTGAACCCGGGAGGTGGAGGCTGCAGTGATCTGAGATTATGCCACTGCACTCCAGCCTGGGCAACAGGGTGAGACTCTGCCAAAAAAAAAAAAAAAAAACAATCACATCAGCCTAGGAGCAGCTATGGGGCCTCTCATGATGATCAGAGAAGCCTGGTGGCATACTGAAGCACGAGAATCACTTGAACCCGGGAGGTGGAGGCTGCAGTGATCTGAGATTATGCCACTGCACTCCAGTCTGGGCAACAGGGTGAGACTCTGCCAAAAAAAAAAAAAAAAAACAGAACATCTCTTTATAGCATTCTGCCCCACCCAATGGGAAAGGGAAGACCTCCACTAACACTACTGCCTCTCTAAAATGCTGGAGGACGCTTCCTTCCTTTTCCTTCCATCTCTGATTTGTTCTTCCCCAGGAAGGAGTATTGAGAAATCTCTGTTCCTACCTGTCTGGCTCTGACGTGTTCTCCTTTGAATTCACTGACTTCAGTTCATGTCCTTTGCAGGGACATAGATGAAGCTGGAAGCCATCATTCTCAGCAAACTAACACAGGAACGGAAAACCAAACACCACATGTTCTCACTCATAACTGGGAATGGAACAATGAGAACACATGGACACAGGGAGGGGAACATCATACAGGGCCTATCAGTGGGTGGGGGGCAAGGGGAGGAAGAGCATTAGGACAAATATCTAATGCATGCGGGGCTTGAAACCTAGATGACAGGTTGCTGGGTGCAGCAAACCACCATGGCACATGTATACCCATGTAACAAACCTGCACGTTCTGCACACGTATCCCAGAACTTAAAGTTAAATTTAAAAAAAAGAAAAAATTCACTCATTTCATCCCCTCCCACAGGCAATAGACACCCCACAAGGAAGCATCCATTGCCCTGCCCCTCCTCCCAATCCACTGGCTCACTTTTCTTCCCCTGCAAGGGAAAGACCTACAATCCCATAGCTGCCCTAGAACTCAACGGACTAGGTAGAAGGCCCTGACACATTATTCCATCCAGCATTACCACTGCTGAAATTGACACTGATGAGGTCAACTTCAAAATTTGAATGCCTTTCTGGGTCCTTGAGTTTAGAAGAAGGGTGTGATTAATTAGCCCCTCCAGTCTGGGCAGCACTTTATGTGGTTGCGTTATAACTAGTTATATAACCATTATCTTTCCCACATGACAGTGAGGATTCTGAAGGCAGAATCCATATGATTGATTCACTTTGGATTCTCTGGGCATTCAGCACAGTGTGTTGCTCATGGTGCATATCTCACAATATTCACTGAACTAAATTATGAAGATACCATTTCCAAAAGTTCAGCTAATAAATTTGTTATATGTAGATACATATGTATGCGTATGTATGTGGGTATGTGTATAAATATGTGCCAGTATAACATTAAAAGAGTAGGGAAATTTTGGGAGACTGAGGCAGGTGGATCATGAGGTCAGGAGTTCAATACCAACCTGGCCAACATAGTGAAACCCTGTCTCTACTAAAAATACGAAAAGAATTAGCTGGGCATGGTGGCATGCGTCTGTAATCCCAGCTATTCGGGAGGCTGAGGCAGGAGAATCACTTGAACCTGGAAGGCAGAGGTTGCAGTGAGCCGAGATTGCACCACTGCACTCCAGTCTGAGTGACA